CAGGGAGCCGAGCTATGTCACGTGTCTTCGGCACGTGACACACCTCAGCTCCCTCCTTCCATATCACGAGCCTTCGCGTTTAACCTCCTGTAAAAACCTTTTCTTGGCACCCAGTGTTAAGAATTGTTAGGTTTTTGCAGGGCTTCGGCCCGTACCCCTAACGGGTCTTATTATTTCCGTCTTCACTTTCGGACTCGTCTCTCAACACCACCACAGCAACCCTCCCCCTCATTCCTTTCACAACACCAAACACGACGAGACCTCCCCCGAAAGTGAAGTAGGGCGAGGGTTTAGAAGGTTTGAAGGTCACTCTCGCCCTCGCCGATCCGCGCGTCCGCTAGCCTGCGGCGCGCTGTGCCCGCCGCGTGCGGGCCACCACTCAAACAAGGCACCAAAGCCCCGGCACAGCAGTTAGGCTATTTTCTGTCTTCGTGCCAGACCTTCTATCTGGAAGGTCTTGAACACTTTCGCTCCCGCCAGAGCCTGACTTGTTCAGGCAGTAACGGAGAGCGTTTGTTGCGGGCTCCTGTATCGCCATCGGCTAGGAGCTGACTTGCTGTACGCCTTCCTTGCTTCGCTCCAATGCAAAGTGGAGAGAAGAAAGGCGTAGAACCACACCACGACCGGCCGTGTTAGGTTTTTCCCCCTTGTGGTTTTTCCTAGTACTATCCGAACTACCTTTCTTGTGGATGAAGCGACCCGGGAAAAGGATGGCGGATAAGAGAATTCTGGTCAGGTGAGAAGATCTGCTTCATTTTGGAGCGGTTTGAACAGGAGCGTTAGGTGAAGACGTAGCCCTGTAACATAATTTAGATTAGCATAGACCATGTCGGCATCGCGCCCAACACGTCTCTCGTCGCTCGAGACGTTAAATATACCACCACCACCACCACAGCCTTCGCGTTTAGATACTCTCCTTAACAACAATAATAACAACAACAAGAACACCAGATTAACCCAACGATATTGCTACCGATCGCGATAACAGGAATACCTGTGTGACTAACCTGTGGTACACGCAAACCAACACCTCATACAGTAGAAGCCATTCTAAATCGCAACTATACTCTGAGACTGTAAGTGGAACACCGCGAGAGTCATACTAGCACCCTCATTCCTTGTGGGGGTTTTGCGAGACGGAACAGCCTGCCATATCCAGGGCCAGCATTAAGCACTGGAGTCTGGTGATGCTCAACGAAGTACAATGACTCGCTTGTCCCGCTTGGGATGACCCGTTCGTCTCATTCACACAATGACTCGCTGGGACGGAGAACAATGCCGGTACGTAAATCAAAAATCAATGGGGATTAAGATCAACACCGTAAAGCCAGCATGAGGCCAGCACTCATGACCGGCCAATCTATTAGACTCAACAACAGAAACTTGGGGTCGGAGGTCCGCGGACGACAACACACGAAAACACGTATTCTTGAGCTTGCTTCTTCTTCAGCCTCCAAGTATAAGTAATAGAGCTCGAGCACCAGAGATATAATGGTAGAAATCTACTAACCACATTGAGTCGGACTTGCAATAATATCACATTCACTCTTCTTATCCATAAATCCGCCATCATGAGATTCACCCAGGCCTTCGTTGTTGCCTCCATGTCCCTCGGCGTCATGGCAGGCTGCCGGTTCGCCCCCGAGGTTTGCAAGTCGGATGTCGGTCCTATCTCGCGAGGCCTCACCAATGGTTGGGTCTGCGATCTTCCGGAAGACTTGCCCTGCCAGACGACGTGCGAGATCACTGGTGAGAGGCAGCGATCTGAGCCCGGAACTGTTGGCATGGAGACGATGAAGTGCTGCAAGCCCCAGCCCGGCTGTAAGTCTCCCTTGATATTCTCTTAGAACGACATCGTCGATCAGTACTGACATACATGCTATAGGTTAAGCACACTTTCCGTCATTGGGTACCCGGAGAGTAAAGTAGAGGGATGGCTTGGACTATCAGAGCGACGTTCAGCACCTCAATCACGCGCCATCCCTCGAGAGATTAGGCATTGAGTGACTCTCGCTTCTCGTACAGTCTCAGCATTGAGAATGAGAGCAAGGATGATGGTGAGGCATTGGTGAAAGAATTTCCTGAAGAGCTATAATGGGTATATGTCTGGCCGAAGGGAGATGTTGGACTAAGACCTACAGTCCAAAAGGCAAATGCAGAAGCTTGTTGACATACCTTAGCAGGCACTTCGAAACTGAATTCAGTGGGAAGTTGGCCTGTTCGACCATTCAATCCCCCTTCCCTCTATCACTGAGTCTTCTCACACTCCCTTGTGATTTAGCCTGTGCTACAGTTGAGCACCTCATTCGACTCATAATTTCAAACCAGCCTACTCATATTTCTGGACATAACAAAATGCACCGGCCAAGACTATGGATGAACCCTGACTTGCCTTGTCCGATCTTAACAGCCATGATAATCATCCATCCACTAACCCTACCGCTGCGACGATACTTTTAAGCCTTGGCGGCACTTGATATCGACCCAACACGGCTTGCCGCGGCACAACAACAACACTACCTTAATCACCTCTATCGACAAAAACGTCCTCATAGAGAGCGAACGTATGGTTATAGAAGTTTCAGCCTGGCGACTTTGGATAGATTATAGCCTCAGAAAGAGCATCGTCGGGAGAGGCGCTCCGAACAAACGTTGTAGAACGGGGTAGCGTAGAGAGGCCATATATTCTGATCTGTTTCATGGTACTGTCAAGTTGGATGTTCACGAAGAACGCGCAGTGGAGGCGAGCTTGCCGGTTGCAGCATAGCGCTGCAAAACGAGACCTAGCTCCTGGAATATGACGTAATGGTTGGGAAACGCCTTCTCCTGCTGGTACTCTCCATGAGAACTGCACAAATTGTCCCATTATGCGCCCGGGACTCCTTTATTCGATGGAACTGAGATTATATCTGCGATTACGCGGCATCTCGGATAAAGTCCAACGAGGAGGCATGACCGGATCATGGCTTTGGCTGATGAGATTTGCCCTTTCGGGATGTTTAGCTTTCTGCATCGATCGATGGGATGTATATCAGCTTTCTGGCTTGATACGGGTTAAAGATAGCTGAGCGAAAGTTAGCACCCAGTCAATGAGACTACATTGAAAACGCGATTCGGCACATCTCTTGCCCGTTCTTGTAGGTCATCAATATCAACATATCACGGAATCGTCATCTACTCTTTCTTTTGCGAAATCCTGGAGAACTGCACGGGCAGTGTGGTCTAGTAAGGTACTAGCTTGGAAACTAAATAGACGTGAATGAGTCAAGGAACGGGACCACATCTCCATGATTGCGGAATTATGGGATTGCGACAGACAGCTACAATACCTTCTAGTCACAAACTTCCCAGCGTTCAACGGCCAATTATGAGTAGTTCTAACACCAAAGCGCCGTAGCAGTCTCGTAGCCTCGTTACGGGGATGACATCGACTAACGAGCCTAGTTCGGCCATGTGGTGGTTCAGGAGACGCCGGTTTCACGCTCGTCAGCCAAAAGCCACTTGCTGGAAAAGTTCCACCAGCATCCAAATTTAGCTAGAACTTGGGGTTTTGGCTTGCTTGACTGATATGGCAGGCAGCATAACGTTCCGACGACAAAGAGCTCCCCGCTGCGCTAATGTGCGCCACTACTCCACCGCCCGAGGGCCGTGAATACCAGGTACAGGGCTACGTAGTTACGAGATTCTGGAGAAACCTGACACTCCGTTTACCGGCACGCAAGTGTGTATATGTAAAACCTGTATCATACTAGTACCCCCTTCGAAGATTCAAAAGCGACAACAGTATCTTTCTACAAACGAACGACATGCAGGCTGTCCTCCAATGCAATGGCTGCAGTGATGCTGGCGCAACTACTCCAATGTCACTCGCCGAGCCAGTGTTGTCGACGGCAATGGGACTCTTCCCCAAAAACACTCACTCCAATACAGAGGTCCGACCTACAGCCTCGAAATTCCTACCAAACGAGTCCAACAGAACCAGAAGCAGCATTATACCTAGCGTTGAAGTTGGTAGAGCCGGCTGTGACCTGGACGAAGACTCCCCTGATGAAGTTGGGAATATGAGGCGTCGGGACTCTCGCCCGGACTCGCGCACACCACTACTATATGACTCCAGCGATTCGGACGAAGAGCCCTCCACTGGACTCAGGAACAAGCTTTGTCAAGCTCCGACAAATCAACTGTTGCCAGCATCCCCGAATGAGTACGGTGGATTGCTAAATCTCTTTACCAAAGTCGAGAATGAAGATGGCTCACCATGTTGGCCCCAAAAACGCATGGAGTCAATGGATGTCCACACCCGCACTGCTTTCTCGACAGCCTCATCATATCGAAAAGCTCAACTTGAATACTATATTGAAAAGCTGAGATGCGAACTGCGTGCCAGAAGATTGTAAGTTCTTTTCTCAATGTTGATTTGTCCGACAACTGAAGACCGTGCTGATTTCACTATACAGAAAGTCGGTAAACCATTGCGAGCATGCATCCCAGAAACCAAGCTTATGGAGACTTGGACCACCGAGCTTGAGCCCAACTTCGGTCTCAGTCTTTGATGCGGCTTTGTCGAACCCATCTCAAGCAGGGCTTTCTTTGAAGGCCTGCGGCTCAGGTAGCGACCTCAGTGATGACTCCTCCGAAGATGAGGAACGGGATATGGGAAATGACCGCCATAATCTATACAGGACTATTCGAACAGTGCTATCCCATAGTCGAGACTATGCCGATGCCATGGTCAACACCCTTCAACGTCAAATTCAAAGACTCAAAACGCACAGCCATGCCTCTTCGAAAGTGTTGGTATACACGTCAGCAGGGCAACCGTACGGTTGGAACGAAGGGTCAATAATGGTCTATTATTGCTGCGTCTGGAGGTGGAAGGAGGAGGTTGTGGGCAGAGCCCACGGCCTCTCAGAAGTGGTATGTAAGGGGTCGTTTGTAAGTGCCCATACCGCCTTCCAGATCCATCTTTTCTGCCGACTGCTCAGAGATCCAACAGAAAGGTTCAGTTTTTCCATCCGACATCTTCAACACGTTGGGTAATCAGGCAGAATATGAGGCCTCCAATGAAGGAAGCCCCTCGGGGGGTAAGCGATCGACTGGTAGACGGACAAGAGCGGGCAGCTTAGCAACATCTGTAAGCTCGTCTAATATGTGACGTACACCTACGAGATTCAAGAGAAAAAGGGACGATGATGAAGAGGAAGAGGATGAGCAAAATGATTTGTCGAGCAAAAAGCAGCATTGGCTCTGTCTCTACGATGTGAGGTATCAGCGATTGGTCTCCGGGGCTTGCCGAACGCCGACCAATTTTAGGTCGTTTAGCGATTTAAGGTGAGATGAACAACTGTTTCCCCAGACGTTTCTTGGGCGAGCTGACTCCAGAAGGAAACATCTACGTGAGAGACACACCCGCAATCGCAACACTCGGGATGGGGACGTGCGCAAACATCCCGAGCTGTACATGTCCGACAAGCAAGAGATGGACATTATCACAGTTGCGAAAACCGCCAACTTGCAGAGACCCAAGACAGGCACCGAAACATCGTTTGAAAAGCACCAAGGATCATTCCACGCAGTCTGGGGCATTCTATTCCAAAACGCTGGCCCCGCTCCAGAATCCCCATGTAAGTCTTTGATACCACAAAGCGACCCTATCTCGAAGCTTTCTGAAATCTAACGGCCTTCAAGTTTGCGAAGACTTCAAAAGTGGAGAGCCAGGAATGCTTTCCGACTCCATTTTCTCCTCTTGGTCCGATCGAGCTTTCAAACGCGGCGAGATCTCCGATCCGGCTGACTTTCAGGCAAGCCGCAAAGATTTCAACGAGATGGCGCAAGAATTACTCGCAACCTTCAGAGACCACAGGCCGAATTTTGTGGGTAGCTCCCAACCCTTACCGTCTGACAGCATGACGAGCAATCAGCGGTTCGGCTCTTCAGGTGCCGCTGCAGAGACACCAGAGCGGAAATTTTTACAATCACCAGGGCTGACACCGAACTGGTCCCCTTTTGGTGATGAACACCCGCGGAGAGTAAGCTTCGACTCACCTGTGCTGGTCTCGGATGATCCAGTTGTCCAGCCGGGCTCAGCTGCTGCTGATATGATCAGATGGCGGACGACAGTTAGCCAGGAACTTCGACAATACCCCGAGTTTCCAGTGCGTCTGCCGATCACGGAGGCATCAACACCGATGGCGCCGGTGCCCAGTGTCCGGGATCCCGCTGAAGCTTTCGCCGAGTTCGATGACTTCCTGCGCGCTGGCAATTTTTATACATCAGGAGAGACCCAGTCGTCTCAAACTCTAGATGCACCATTAGATCAGGTTCCTCTGGTATCTACTATGGATCCGATGATTGCCTCGGACGGTACCCCAGGGGTTGGTGTAGACGACCCGTTGAACTATCTCCAGTGGGATGATGGAGGTATCTCCGCGAGCACGTCAGCTACGTTGCACCCTATGCACTTTAGCCCACAATACCAAGATATCGAGGAATCATGGTAATACTCTTTTGTCAATGGGCACACATGGGGGAAATGGTGTTAGGATAGGGGGCCTGGACAGGAATCAATCAATGAGCGTCTTTTATAGAAATCAGAGCTCACTGGCGCTTTCTACTCACAACCGCACGAAAATCCGATAAGCCTTATTGAGTCAACCATGATAATGCCCGTCATCGTTGCCACCATCAAGGTCAGGAGGGAGTTTGTCACGTAACTCCTGGGTAGTTCAGGGGGGCAGAGGGGTGGCTTGAGCATGTAAGAGACAAACGTGGGATACTTGTCTTCCCTTCTCCGTAGAGTAACTCTGTCATAATGAAAGATGCCCTCAAGCAACAGAGGGCAAGCGGTTCAATTGAAGTTTGACAACTTGAGGTAAGGTACGGAAGCATGGAAGACGCCTGCCCACGGACACCCGGGATTAAGGTGAGGTATGTGCGCCAGGTGGACGGGCTCGATCCTCTGTTCCCGTCCACCTGCCACACATGCTTACTTGGTTCCTCCGATGCTCCTCCCCATCACCAAGTCTTCCATCTCAAGTGACATCTGCCACGCGCCAGCCACACCTCGTGTTGCTACCACCGAGATGCCTTGGTAGTGGGGACATGGGGCCTTCCGGCTGATCTTAGAAACGCCAGTAAACTTGGAGCGTAGGGCAGGCAGTACCTGCTGGGAAATGTGCCGGGAGGGGCGATGGGGAAGGGGAGCTTCCCTCGTCCCACTGCGGCCCTACCTTATGCTTTGTAAATCCTACCCCGCTATCCACCACCGTTCGACTCGCAAACCTACCTGCCCATCCAAATCCCAGGTCTTTTCTCTCTTTTCGTATAGGCAATTTGAATGTGCGGTTTATGCAATGCACGTGGCTGGCAGACTGCGTGACTGCTCACTATTGAAGTGAGTTGCATGTGGCTGCAGGCAATGCCGAGAGTCCAAACGAGCGCTCCCGCCTTACAGCGTCCGTCCCACCGTCCGTTGTCATTAGGTTTGGGGGCCAGAACTGTAAATTGGATCTGTTGTCTGCAGAGTGGGAACGATGTGGGGGGAAAGTCCACTGCATCGAAACGGTTGGGAGGGCAGCCATCATCTGGACCACAACCTTCTCTCGTCTCTTCTTCTTTCCGCTTCGTCCGACGTGGTCTTCTCTCTACCTTCTCGATGTCGATGACTAGCTCCAACTTGCCTGCTCATTACTTCTCATCACTTCTCATCTCTACGTAACGCCCTTGGCTCCAATACTTGCCTCTTCCTCTCCACACATCCCTCTCGCCGATGCCCACGCCGGTGTGCATCATGCATCGGACTTGAACGCCTTACTCAACCCACTCTTTTCTCGCACCCAACCCCTGTACCTGGCCCAGCGTTGTCTTGTGCACGGCTACGTCTGCGCCAGTTTCTGGTCCTCGCTTTGGTCGAGGTCTGGGCAACTGTGCCGCTCCCGAGGTGTTCATCATCACGCCAGCCACCTTTCATGACCATCGCTCGGCTCCTGCCAACGTCTGTGCCGCTCTGTTGTCAGGGAAGTCCTTTGCTCGGAGACCTCCAGTTGCTCTAGAGAAGGATGGAGGACACCCATGGCATCGGGTTGCCAACTGGCTTACTTTCCAGAAGCTCTCACGCACCTGATCACGGAATCTCCCTCTCAATACCAAATTTCCCCAGATTCAATTGCCTATTCCCTGTTCTGCAAGCGTTCGGCAACGGTGGGCAGTGCGGGGAGCTGGGAAAAGAACTATCGACTGCGCAAGTGCCCGCAGAAGACCAACAACATAAACGCAGCCACCGACCCCGCGTCCTCGACTCTTCGTCAACCATCGACACAAAATGGCGGGGCATGCGACAACAATGTGAAGTTGTCTACTTCTGCTGACCGTCAACTCTCACCCCTGTTCCATGGCGCCACCTCGACGCGGCTTATTCGCACAGCTTCCAAGAGGCTGGAGGCTTTGCCGCATGCACCGTCTGATCCGTTTGTCATAGCTCCGGTTCTCGATTCACGATACTCAATGTTCTTGAGCCGCTCCTTGTCAGTCACTACAGCCGATACGCGACTAACGTAACCAAGCTATTATGGCGTGCTTTGCTTATCAGATAGCTCTTCTATCTAGGTACTCTAGTTGAGCCAGCGAATTTCTGCCCTCCCGGGGCTATCTTCCGGAGCTATTGGTAGCTGTTGCTATTCCTGATGGAAACCAACACATCAGACTTCAGTCTAGGGCGGCTGGACCTAGCTGGGGCGAGTCAGGGGTACCCCGCGGGAAACATTGGGCCACTTGGGCGATCGCTGGATCATACTCTGGCAATGGCGGCACTTGGGGAACTTGTGCCGAGCTTCAGTTGTCAACCCACGAACACGGCCCAATACACGGGCAATACGCGGGCGGCTTCACGTCTTGGCTGACAACTGGGCACAGTTCGGGCAATGGCGCAGTTCGCTCTATCCAACTCCACGATGGCTTTTGGGTCACTTCAAAAGACATGCATCTTCCAAGCAAGACTAGTAAACGGATGACCGAGGTCTAGTCTGTTTAACACTATTTTTCTTGGATTTGCCCGGCGCTGGCCTGGTTACCGTAGTCCCGGCTCTCTTCCAGAATTTTGGCGGCCACACCAAAACAAGTTTTGTGCTCGTTCGGAGCCTGCCCCTGGGTCTGGTTGGACGCGTTCCTGTACACCAACGACTTGGACTGCAGCCCTGGTGCGTCTGTTTATTGGACGTTTCCCGCGAGCTGTAGGTCTTGAGCTTGGTGCCACAACATGGACACGAGCCCTCCTCGAGGACACAACAAGCATCGCGCTACGTTTGCCCGACATTGAGAAACTCATGCACCGGTCGAGTCCGCCTCATATCCAGCTCCTGACGGCGGAAAATTTAATCAAACGAAGATGCGGCTAGAAAATAATTGACAGCGCAAGGCCCAACGACTATCTGCGATACGAAGACGCCGCTGCGTGCTGGTGCTCAATTTTGTCACTACTCGGGTATACTTGATCGGTCAAGACTCAAGAGCGAACGCGGTTGTGTGAAGCGACTAAGGCACAGATGGACCAAGCGAGGGGGTTTCTTCCATCGCCAGCGAACATTTTCGTCACCTCGCGGCCTGCAGTGCTGCCTTGCCCGCCTTCTTGAGCATCTAGTCAGACAGGATTGACGAGAAGCCCTGGAACTGTTGGCTTTATGCCTTGCTCGCAGCCTGTGTCGTGTCAATCCTGCTGTCATTGGGCCAAGGGATTCCCAAAGCTCACCACATAAGACACCTGGATTATATTAAATGCCCCTCCATGTGCCGTCATCGTCAAGTCGGCCGTTACCGACACCAGTCGGCTAGGACATCAAGGCCTGAGCTGACAGCCTTTACAACGGCATCATGGCCGGGGCAACATGGCCAGCCGGGGGATGGCGGTCTGCCTAGTCTTTCTGCAAGCTGCAATGCCATCGGCCCTAGTCAGCTCTCGCGCTCTTATTCGTTCAAGTCATCACATAAGCTACCTGTCTGACGGTCAAAAGTGACATGGGTATCGCTGAACCTTGTCGAGCCTCGCCGTCCAGGTCTGTCGTCGTCGTCCAACCTCGTCTCTTGGCTGCAGTTGCACTACGCACACCGGGTGGCGTATGCCTCATCTTCTGATTTCGAGTCAAAATTGCGCCTTTGGCTGCCGTGTCGCCATTCGGCCGAGACTAAGTCGTTCATCTACACACACCACAGGAGTCGTCCTACACCAGCGTCCTCACCTATCCCATCGAGCTCTCGGCCAGCCACACATGGAGCTCCAGGTTCTTCCCAACTGCTGGTCTGCATCTCCAAGATCGCCTTTCCTCGTATCACAGACTTGGCGTACTCGTCCTCTACACCCTACCAAAGGTCCTCTTTCATGGACCAGGCCGTGGCCGGTCTACTGTCCACATGGCCCAAGACTACTGCAAGCCGCAGTGGAGATCGTCAACCTCTGTTGGTCGACGAGCAGAGATGTCATCTCATCCTCCGCACTCTGCTTCCTCTTCTCCTCACCCGTCCGTCTGCAGGCAGACCGGGTATGCCGGCCACCTGTTCATGGCCTCAAGATATAAGCTTACCCAGCCATCTCTTCTTTGTCCGAACCTTTTCTCCTTGTTTCTCTATCCTCTTGCAGCCCTCACCAGCCTCTCTCCATCTCCCAGCCAACCACTTTCTCGTGGCCTTGCGCTGTCAAGTGACTCGTTCGTTAAGGTTACTTAAGAGACTCTCGCTCAAGTCAAATCTCTCGTTTCCCCCCTCCCATCGTTTCAAGAGTATCTTTCGCTTGATTGCTCTCAACCTCGCCTCTATCCGCAACTATGAAGTTCACCACTGCTCTGCTGGCTCTGGCCGCTAATGCCCTCGCAACCGAGGACCACGACTGGGGTAAGGACAAGACCAAGACCATCGTCACAGAAGTCTTGACCACGTACACGACCGTGTGTCCTGTTGTGAGTAGTCCTCAAGCCCCTTTCTTGATGCCGCGGAGCTGACGTCCCTTATTAGACAATCACGAAGCCCGGCGAACACACCACTCAGTATGAGACCATCACGACCACCTCCACCGTCGTGGAGAAGCACCCCACGACGATCTATGAGACCCTTCCTGGGGCCACGGAAGTCGTGACGGAAATCGACACCGATTACACCACTTACACCACCTACTGCCCGATTGTAAGTACTTTTCCCTTCAAGCAAAGGCTCCAAGCAAGAACTAACAACTTCTACAGACGGAGACGATTGTTGGAGAGGGCACCACAAAGACTGTTGTGTACACTACACTCAGTACCGTCATCGAGAAGAAGCCGACCAAAATCATCGAGACCGTTCCGGGCCCGACGGCCGTAGTGACGGCCACGGATGTCGAGCTCACAACCCTCACCAGTCTCTGCCCGGTCACGGAGACTTACACCGAGGGCGGCAAGACCTGGACCAAGACGTACACCACCACGTCCACCATTGTGACTCACGTTCCTACCAAGGTCTGGCAGACCGAGAAGCTCCCCGACGTCACCAAGACGGAAAAGGACGTTGAGTACACCACCATCACTTCTCTTTGCCCTGTGGTGAGTCTTCGGGACCTCTTCTCCCAGCCAAGCCTTCCCGAGCCTCCCCGAGCTAACATAATGGCCAGACCGAGACCAAGACCATTGGCGGAGAGACGGTGGTCGTCACTTACACATCCACTTCCACCATCGTGACGGAAGTTCCCACCAAAGTGGACGTCTGGACGACCGTAAAGACCACTCAGCATCTTTCCACGGAAGTCTACGAGACCATCACAAAACCCGTCACGACTTATCAGACCCTCGAGCATGGAGAGACGATCTGGGTCACCGCCACAGGCACCAAGACCATTACCGTCGAGAAGGTCCACACCCTCACGGAAGTCATCGTCGAGACCAAAACGGCACACGTCGAGGTCACTCAGGCCGTGACCGTGGGAGGCGAGAGTGTCGTGACGCAAAAATCATGGGTCTACGTCACCGTATCGGGAACCGTGTTCGCTACGCAGACCCGTCCCGCCAGCACTCTCGTCGTTCCTACGACCAGCGCCGTGACCCTTCCCCCGGTCACGGTATCGAGCCAAGCCCCGGTGGTTGTGCCGACCGCTGCCGCCGACGCCCGCAGAGCGCCGGGGGCTGCCTTGCTGGCTGGCCTTGTCGGAGCCGTCGCGCTCCTCTAGACTCTTGGTCCTGGAAGATGGACCATTTGCTTCTAGGCCTGGCTTTTCTATCACTTTGCTTTTTCGGTGAGACTTTTGACCTCATTTCTACACTAATGCCTGGGAGACTAAGCAGTCACTCGTCCTACATTGGATGAGCGGGCTTTTAATGAATGGATCGCATTCATATGAACTTAACGACAAGCTCAATGCTACGACGGCATGGATATACAGATATACCCCTACACTCTCTGATGATAAAACGGGAAAAGGAAGGATTGAATTGATGGACAGGAACACACGGGCGGGCAGGTAATTGGAATAATGATTTCCCAGGCGAATGGGTATGGAGGGTAATTCTATTTGACAGCACAAGGTCACGGAAAATCTCTCTCTTGAAAGGGAAATTGTAAGCAACTCTAGTTGCAGTCGACCCTGATTTCACTTCATGTACATAGACGCGTTTGTCCAAAGCGTAGGATTTAGCAGACGGAAGAAGGCTTCAAGGAGCTTTCTTGACATAATGTAGCACATTGCATTCTCGCAAGCATGAAAAATATGGTTACGCGCTGGTGAGAATGACTGGATAGTGACGATTGCGCGCTTAACCCCCCGGACCTGGTTGCATGGCTCGCATTGTTATGTGCTGGCCGTCGATCGAGGCGATGTAACTTCGTGTCGGGATGCCCAAAGTGACGGTTGGCTCTTGGCCGGTGTGAGTGGTGTGGTGCGGTGTGGTTGTCAATGGCGGGAGGGGCTGGTGGTGTGGTGTAGTAGGATTGGACGCCGTCCTCTGAGGTGGAAATGGTGGCAGGGGAGGGTGTAAATCCGGGGAAATTGTTTCCCATGGACCAGAAGTGTGGTCTGCGTCTCCTGGCTTCGGCGGCGTCCCGTGCAGTGGGTCCCGGACACCTCGTCGGAGAAGTGGACCCCCACCTTGGGAGTTCGGCGTCCTCCGGACCGGAAATGGGCCCGAATACGGCAATGCTTTGGAATTCGGCGTTAAATAGCTCGCTGCTTTCTCCTTGGACTGTGGGTAGCCGCCAGATGCCCAGAGGGACACCGTTTTCTCGGTGCAGGCTGGTCTAAGGTATCCGCGCGATTATTAAGGCCATTTTCGAGTGTTCCGCGCCCACGCTACGTATTAGACGGACTCCGGTCCACCCAAGGTAGCTTGAGACTGCTTCTTTCCTTTCCGCACAGTGGCTACATTCAAGCCAAGGCGCTCATTTCGGGAGAGCAAGCACCGGAGCTCGAATCGCACACGCAGACGCAGACGTTGATGAAGGGGGGAGCTCCTTTCGGAACCCGCGCGAAATAGCTTAGACGTTTACTGTCCTACCTCGGCATCCACTGACACACACTGCATCAAGACGCCGTTGTCGAAATATGCAATCATCGGAGGGATCGGCGCCAGAACCCCACAAGAGAGACAGTTCTCACCAGGACTGCTCTGAAGACTTGGCTTGGGATTAGATTTTCCAGCAAGATGAAGAGATCTGTAGAGTTGCCGATCATTCCTAGTGAAGGAGCTTGGCAAATATCATGACTGTGTTTGCTGGCATGAAAACGGCAGTGTAAGTGATGAGCCATGAGCGCGTCAAGATCTTTGCCGGCGTGAGAAGTACACAGAGTCTGAAATTTTCAAAAAGTGAACTTGAAGACGCGTCAAAAGCAGAGAGGTGTTGCCCAGAACAAAGTATAAGAAGTTATTCACCTCCCGGCAATATCGTTTACTCTACCCACAGCTCTCATCATCTCATCATCTCACCACAGCCTAGCCCATCTTCTTCAATCTTACCGACTAAATTCAGTGTCACCTCTCTCCACATTCACCATCATGCAGTTCTCCATCCTCAAGCTCGCCGTCGCTGCCCTGGCCATCTGCAGCGACTCTGTTCTCGGCCAAACGACCCCAGCCCAGGTCGTCCAAAACATCGACATGGTCACCAAAAAGTCCAACGATCTCATTGCCCCCGCGCAAAAGATCTCTCTCCTGAATGGGCCGCTGATCATCGTCGGCCTTGGACCTTACCCAGTAAGTTCAGCTCTATAGGTTTTCCTCGCATGTTAAATCATTGTCGATATATCGAAGCTAATCCCTTTCTTCCCTGTGACAAAAAAACAATCATCACGGGCTTCGTAGACATTGTCAGCACCGTCACCACGGCCCTCGCCCAGATGCAGGGGATGCCTCCCGTCCCAGCCGGCCCCCAGTCCGATGCCATATTTGAGGCGTTCCGCGAGTTTGTGCGCATTCATCAGATGCTTCTCAACGTCCTCATCGGAAAAGCCGGTCTCTTTTCGACTGTTCCCTTTATCGGTGCGCCCATCGCTGCCGTCCTCAGGCAGGTGGAAAATATCGTCGATGTGAGCCTTATCCTCCAATCACTACCCTCACCATGGAAACCCCCAAAATTTCGAGTTTATTGAGAAGTCTGGCTGACACTGTTACGCTCCAAGACCGTCGCCTTTGCCCTCATCGATGCCGTGCAGAGCAGAGCCACCGATCTCCAGGTACAGGCCGGCATGCTCACCGGAACCATCACCACCACGATCGACCGCTACCAAGGCCTTCAACTTTGATTCGACAGATTGCCTTTAAACGACTGAAGGGGGCGGAAGGCTTGGTTTGGAATGAGCGAGGCAAGCCTATTTCACTTCTTGATGCTGTCATAATGGAACGGAGCTTCTGGGCTGCGCTCAGCCGCGGGAGCTTGCGTTCAACGGCAGTGTAATTTTTCTCTATTGGTATTTCCTTTATTAATGCAGCATGGTTTTCGCTCGGAGCAGTTGCTTTAACACCATCCTTAGAAGCTAGATGGCTGCGTTGCTACTGAGCTGGGACTTGATCAGATGATACTAATACAAACTGCTTTAACATTTTGCTAGGTGATCGGGAATTGATAATCAACCTGGTAGCGTCGGAGTGTATCGCAGAACATGAAACTTGAAACCTGTGGTGAATGCAAGAGTGGCCTCGCCACGTGTGGAAAGTTGGATACTATGATCTGATCATGGCTCCCAACTCCTAAAAACATACAATCAGACAGGGTTGCGTATGTCTATTTCGTGAGAACCGCAGCCAAAGTAATTCAAAAATGACAGTCCTCCACGATTTCAGTCCTCGCCCGTGGAACCCAATGTAGTTAGAAAGCCACTGATGAACTCTTTAAACGAGAGAGACATTGGATACGAAGTTCTGAATGTGTATGTGCGACTACCTACGACCATTCTCTGTTGACTTTCCGCTGCCTTGCCGGTGATAAAGAACAAAAAGAGCACCCAAAGCAACAACCTTGTCAACGCTCAATCAGAGTCAGGTATAACAGACAATGCAGATAACACTGTCACTTCTCTAATTCCGTGATTATGTCATGGAATGCCTTCCGACTGGCAGCATATGTCGCACCAACGGGGAACCCGCCGGGCACTCTTGGGAAGACGGAGCCATCGACAACTCTAAGTCCCTGAACACCATGAACTCGGAACTTTGAATCAACACAACTGTCCAGATTTGTCTTGCCCATTCTGCAGCTGCCAGCGGCATGATGGCTCCAAGTGTGATCTCGGATATGTTGCTCGAGTGGACGATCTGTAGGAGGGTCGATGACCTGGAAGGGCTGATAGGGCCCTCCAGTGGCGTTCATGATGGACATGAGATGGCTAATGCCCTCGGAAAGAGCAGAAATATCGACATCGGCGTCCTCTTGATAGAAGTTGAAGTTGATTTCTGGGGCTTCTCGGGGATTAGACGATCTGAGCCTCACGGTGCCCGTCGGATTGCCGTTTTGCATCTTCACGACAGCCCAGAAGAAGGATGTCGGCGGCCATGCAATTTCGCTGAACCCGGGGTAGTGACCATCGAACACACCACCGGCCGCACCAAAGATGATGAGGTCGCAGTCTGCGTTCCTGGATTGGTTGCTACGATGCAGCATGAAAATAGGAGCAGCAGCCTCACCGTATGCACCATAGCCGGCTTCCCATTGTGCAAGGCAGGGATCTGTCTCAGGGCTACCAGGCGTACATTCTGCGAAGGGACTATTCTCCCATGCGATGTTTGACCGAACGTTGATGCCCGCTTCGTAGTTGTCCTGCAGAAACTCACCCTGGGAGACTCATTAGTATGAAGAGACTTCTCATGAGGAGGCCAATGCTTACCACGGCAGGAAGATCAACAGCAACTGGAATGCCGAATTTCTGCAACTCTTGTCGAGGTCCAATTCCACTGAGCTTGAGAAGCTGAGGAGTGTTGAATGCACCGCCTGAGATGATCACTGCCCTCTTAGCCCTCACAGCGCGTACTCGGGGCTCGACCGAGGGGTCGTATCGTCGATCGGCCTCATAAAGACCTTCTCCAATCATGAACTCTACCCCATAGGCTTTCAGGCCGGTCTCGGCATTCTTCATTAGAATGCGAGTCGCGAGGCTGTGAGTACTCATGGTCAACGGATATCGTGGTGTTCCATCTTCCCGTTTCGTAGCCAAAGTATCCGTGATGTATTTCCAAGGGCTGCTTCTGCGGCGGTTCTCGTCAATATGTAATGGTATTTGATACAAACCCGGGATTTCGTAACGATCGCTATCAGGGCGGTTCAGGTCTCTTTCCATCAGCTCGATGACTTGTTCGGAGTCGGGTGCCTCGATGCCCTCAGTCTGAGAGATGGCATTCTGAACCACACGAAGTACACCCGGTCGATCGACAACATAAGAAATGTTGTTTCTGTTCGTCTACCTCTTGTTAACTAAAAAGTCGTGGCGGCTGATGAAGTGCTCTTACCGAAACATATCCATCGAAACCATGGCCTGGCGTCCCTTCAGGCGCATAGGTATTTCTCTCAAGCTCGATAAACATTGATCTCATGTTTTCAGGGCCCCAGGATTCGTCACCTGTAACCTCGGCGAAGTGGTTCCAGTCACTGTCGGGTGGGAGAATCACGTTCATGGCATTCGCTATAGCAGAACCACCGACCGTAGCTCCTCTTGGGTAGTATATGCCTAATCTGAATCTGTGGTTAATGTCTGTTCGATCTACGTGTTGGTGCGTGACTTACGGAGTTGCATCCTCCGGGGCATCAATGCCGTACCAGAGTGTGCCATTTGCAAGACGGTAGGTGAAGTAACGATCGCGACGGGCTTGAGTCTCATTCTGGTAGTGAGACACAAAAAACTGCCAAGACATAGCGGGGTCCTCCGAGTTGACATCCGCTCTATGAAGTATAAGCACAAAGATTTGTGTATCGAGCAGTCCAGAAACTCACAAGCCGGGGATCTGTTGAAGACTGTCATCACCCATGTTGCCTCCAGCCTCAATGAGAAAGACAGAATGACCCTCGCGTGCAAGGCTTGCGCTGGAAAATGTCAGTAATACCTTGACAAGAGGGTAGTCGGAGGCATTCCTTACGCTAGAGTGCCACCTCCAGGTCCTGAGCCAACGACAACATAGTCATAAGCCGTATCGTTGAGAGGACTTCCAGTAGCGCTGTCACTGAACAGTAGGAAGAAGGCGAGAGAAAAAAGCTTCAGCATCATGTCTGAATAATGTTCAATTACTGTGCTTGCATCTGCTATATTGAAGCAATGCACTGTACTGGGTAGACACTGCTCTTATATATTACATGATGCCAAGACCATCTTAACAGTAGTTATGTAAGTGGGCAAAGCATCAAAATTGAGAAGAATGTATCCAACATGAGATGCGCAACTTAGAGGCCTCGTCAGAGCGTCTGCCAAGGGTCGATCATCATCGTCCTCGTCGCGCATGCTGCTGCAAATGCGAAAGCAGGGGGCTGAGTAGACCAGCTTATGAATCCTCTATCGCGGTAGTCTGTCTTGTAAGAGAAGTGCCGGATAATGGTGAGTATTCCAACTACAATAAGGAAACAAATTTCTGATGCTGTGAGGCTAAACCCTTTGTCGACTCGCTGCTCACCAGCACAGCCTGCAATTTTCCACTGAGCTCTACTTAGCGTAGTTTTGGTCGGTCCTTGGCGGACTGGTGTAGTTTAAAAGAACTGATGGGCTTTGGTTGGCGGCCTTGGCTCAAGGCAAGCAACTCGGAAATAAGTTGGTCAGCTTACATCATTGTCGGAGTTCTATTGACCATGGTCCGTTACTCCGATGCGAACGCGAAACCCCGGCAAGAAATCTGGCTGTGCAACACCTTCATCCGTGCTGCTCTTCGCCAGAAGAAAACAAAGTTGCGGGATGATGCAAATCTACCAAGTCCATCTCTGAACAGATTGCGGTGGGGTCGATGTACTCTCATTCAATCAACCCCCATCTTGAGCTGAGGTAAGGTAGTATCGTGATAACTAGGGAATTCTCCGATAACGAAGCAGCGTGAAATGCGGCGAGATAATGCCGTGCCGTCTATGAGCGCAAATATCATACTCTCTATGAGATTGACTCAGGCCTCAGACGTGGCTACCTACTGGGAGCAGACATCGGTAGCATCACCAGACGTGACGGCAACCGTCGTCCGGCTTCCCGGTGAAGGACTGCTGGTGGGTGAAGCCAAGCTCTCGAGATCCTTCGCAAGCTTCGGGAATACCATGGGAACTCAAATCACTATATCGACTCACTTTCTATTCTTGCTTCAGCTGGTTCATCACTCATAGCCTTTGAAGGCAACTTTATGGCCTGCGGACAAGTCTGCGGTTGGGCGGCCGATGAAGTGGATCTGTCGAAGCCGTGTCCGGTTTTGAAAAGTGGGGTTGTTCCGGCGCCGGTCCGTGTGACCGTGAGCGGCAATATGGCCGCCGGACAAGTGAAGAAGACAGACAGGACGCAAAATAGAATTACTCCTTGAATAGATAATTATTCCACACAGTATCGCGACGTCATGTCTGCCTTTTATGCGTGGGACGGTTTACTCATTACAGGGCTCTCGGGATTATTCTTCCCGCTTATACTCGTTAGACTTCATTTGTTGTTTCTTGCAGCTGAATATGTTTCATTACCCAATGCTTACCCGTCTGGAACAAAACGGGTCTTCCGTCTTACAATTGCTTCTATCTTTTGAGTAGTGCTGGTGAGATGTCGAACAACGCATTACAGATATCGTTCGCCGTTACCCGTTTTGACGGCCGTCCACCCGAATGAGGTGTGAAACGACACGTGCGGGATGCCGGTAGGGTGGACGCGACGGGTAGAATCCTATGAAAATGACCAAGTCTCTTGATCCCACCGGTACACCGAGCTCACCGTGCCACTTGGAATGTTTCGTCCGTCAATTCTCTCCAATGAGACGATGGGCTGAATCCAAGCTCTCGGGTCTTCCTCGCGGCTTCTCTACTGTGGCGTATTTCCTCTGCAAACGGCTAGGTCTTTAGGAAAATAACCTCCCGCTCTACCATAGTACCTATCAAGTTGCATCTGGTAGATACTGGAGTTGGAACATGTAAAGGCTACGGAAAAGCCGAGGATACCATGTTATAACCCTGTTGAGGGCCAAAGACATAAAGGGACTTGGCCCAAATATGATACGGAAGAGATGAATTGTGTGATCTAACCAAACATCGAAGACAACTCTCTCTTAATCTCGAGCGTTTTACACAAGATACTAATAGGCCAATCATTGGGTCAATCATGGAGTTCTCACTCAGGGGCTGGTCTCCTCAATCGAGAACTACCGCCTTCGTCTTGTTTGCGTTCCTTACACTTGGGTATGCACAACAACCAGCACAAGTCAAATTGGACGATGGATCGTACTCTGGTTTGACAGCGAACGGGGTCAACAAGTTCTTGGGAGTTCGGTATGCGGCACCACCACAACGCTTTTCACCGCCGGTGGCCTCTTCGATGGCGCCTCACAATGATGTAATGAACGCAACTGCCTTCGCTCCATCCTGCATCCAAGCTATACCTGGTGAGTTGCACCCGCTGATATCATCGGATCTCATCTGGAGCTTTGCTTATGTTCATCGTGATACTGACTTTCAACAGCTGCGATTGCTGCCACGATGCCGTCTGGTCCGGAAAGCGAGGATTGCCTGTTCCTCAATGTCTACGCACCCTCTTCTCCACCACCCGCCGAAGGAAGAACCATCATGGTATGGTACTATGGCGGAGGCTTTCAGTTTGGATCTGCCAACACACCAATGTTCGATGGCTCGAGCTTCGCACAGAACCAGGACGTTATCATTGTGACCCCCAACTACCGAACGAGTGGTGAGTGACTGTTGATTACCAAGAGAAAGCAACCTTTTGCCCTTGACGTTGGACTTTGCTAATCATTCCGATCGTAGTCTTCGGGTTCCCCGGTGATGTCGAAGACATACCTCCGCAAATGCGCAACGTGGGTCTCATGGACCAGAAACTAGCACTTCAATGGGTTCAGCGCAATATCAAGGCCTTCGGTGGTGACCCAAACAAGGTGACGTTGTTCGGGGAGTCAGCCGGCGCCTCGTCCGTCGACCTTTTGCTACTTACAAGCGGTGCTCAGCCCCCCTTTCGTGCGGTAATCACAGAGTCTGGAACATCATATCTTGTCACCGGACCACAGGCAGGCGGAGACATCATCGGGCTCATGACCGGTCTCTTGGGCAGACCGAATATGGCGACCCCGTTTCAAACACTCGCGGCTTCGCTGAAGTGCGGCAATCAGAAGTCACTTGATTGTGTGAAAGCCGCACCGGTGGAAGCTATTGTATCCGTACTGTCTACAGGCCCCATCAACTTCCCACCCGTAGCCGATGGAGATGCAAACGTACCAACATCACCTGATGCTACACGAGCTTCGGGCAAGGTTCCTCGCATACCCATGATGATAGGAACGAACCTCAGGGAGGCCGATATCTTCACAATGGCCCAGCCACCGACCGCTTTGGAGGCCTTTGTGCGGCAACATTTCTCGGAGATACTGCCCTGCAGAAGGCTGTCGTTACCGCATATCCGGTTGGAGCCGGGATGCCTTTCCCGACTCCAAAAGATGCAATCACGCAATTTGCCACAGGTTTGGATTGGACCTGCAGCATTGCGCACGAAGCTCGTCTCTCGGCCCAATCCGGGGTGCCAACTTGGAGATACCTCTTCAACTCCACCTCGTTCCCGCCAACACCTGGGGGTATCTTGTCTCGCCCGGTACACGGCTCTGAGATTGGCTTCGTCTTTGGCAACCTCCCGCCGCCGCCGGCAACACCTGATCAGGCTCTTGCGCTGAGCAAGTTCATGCAGACGGCGTGGGCCAACTTTGCCAAGAACCCCACCAACGGGCCTGGAGTGCCTGCCTGGACGCAGTTTTCTGGTATGCCTGGTTCGATGGACCTGGGGAACTTGGGTGGTGTTCTTGGTGACGGAGTCTCCATGATAGATTCAAAGGTGGTTGACAGCCGTTGTAATCTTTTTGATGCGTCGTACGCCAAGACAAAATGAGGGCTCTGCGGTTGGATACAGATTACTTACTCTACTTTCAAGCTTGGGATCAATTATCAACAGTACGTCTGTAGTGACATTGAATGTTGAAACAGTGCTATGCATCATGTTGTTCCTATGTGAGAGAAAATAGCTCGTTGGTTGATCTATCCAACTAGCTGGGCCCCGAGATAGTTCAGTACAGTGGTTTTGAAATCCTCCGGCTCTCTTCCCAAAAGCTTACACAACAACGGAGACGCAGCAGCCGCCTCACCCCTGCGAAACGCCTCAAACGACGAAGTCCATGGCTTCGAGTAGTCAACCCCATGATAGGTAAAGTTGGGAATCACCTGCGCCTGAGAGGCGAATTCGTCATCCGAAACCTGCTTGATCGCAACTGGAACCTTTGCGATCTCGCTGAGAATTCCGACTGTTTCCGACAAGGTCAATGTCTTGATACCCGAAAAAAGTATCGTCTCATGACGGTAGGGGAAGCCGTCAGGGTCTGCGACGTAGCGCGATATGAGCTCAGCTGTAGCTTCTCCCAGCTCCTCTCTCTTGACCCATGCGATTCCGGGACCGACACCATCGTGAGGAATCTTTATTTCGCCGGCAGGTCGAGCCGGGTCAAAGAATGAAGTGTAGAGTGGGTAAGACTCGGTGTAAAGCCCCTCGCGGACAATTGTGTAGTCGAACCCAGGATGCTCTTTGCGGCATGCACGAAGGTATCTCTCGGTATCGAGGTGCGCCTTCATGACGTGGGCCACTGACTCCTGGCTCTGTGCAGATCCAGCGAAGCCCAAGGACCCATAGAAGATGTGCTTCACGCCACTTGCAATGGCGGTGTCGATGGCAAACTTGTGTCGCTTTGCGTGGTTTCGTTAGCTATCATACATACTTCCAACCACCAAGGTAGTTGAGCCTTACTCGAGATCTGTGTTCGTGTTCAACTGATGCATAGGAAATCAGAAACAGGGTCTTAATTCCGTGAAAGCTCTTTCGAATCGATGCATCGTCGTCGTAATCAGCTTGGCGCACGTCTGCTCCCAGCGCTTGCGCATCCGAAAGGTTTTTGGGATTTCTGGCGATGAGGATCAAGTTCATCGGGGAGAGACGTTGAAGAATGTGCTTTACAGTTCCTCCACCGATACCTCCAGAGGCAGGGAAGATACCAACTTTGTGAGGGGATGTCATTTTGCTCAGGTAGACGAATAATGTAAGATGCTGTGATTATCTACGGAAATCAAAATAACCTGGACGTAGTGGCACATAATGTTAAATACTTCCAGTCCGTCGAGACGCAGAGACGTCACAGTGGCCCTCTGTAGTCCGTGGAGCACCAGATGACAGTATAGTGGATATTTCCAGTGGATAACTCTCAAGTTGTTTTTCTCGCTGAGTTTCAAACTTAGAAATTGGGGGTGGCTTAATAACCAGAATAGGCAGACAAATTTGTAAGGTAGAGTCCATGGCGTAACTTGGTTCTGAAGCCATGGGAATTGACGAATCATGAGACGTGGTCTTTGCCTGTAAGTTTTTGTTTGAATCTACAAGTGAGGGCGAGATATTGCTCCTGATTCGTTTTGCGTTCAATGCGCAGTGCTCCCTCGGACTGGCCACCGGTTGGGGAAATGCCGCCCCCGCCCCTAACGCCGGGAAAAGCGGGTATCTCGACCGTTTGCCTCCGGCCCCTTGATCCCGCCTCGCGGGATGGAACAAGACTAGGATTGGAATGCTACTTCAAACGAAAAGAACATTATTTCTGTACGGTGGCTTTTTAAATTTGGCTATTTGTCTAAGTTTTGTTGCCTGTATTTGCTTCCTCGTACATCCACTTTGGTTTGTGTCGGGTCTTAACAATCGTACTTGGAATGTTACCTCATCCTTTATACTTAAGTAGGTACTTATCCAGCGAGTGAGCAGGATCGTTATGAGCCTCTCCATCAGCTATTCGGCAAGTTAATGGCTGAAACTTATCTGGTACGCATAAGCATTCTGTACCGTGAGGCTGACCGTTGGCCTAGTGCTTCGCCGACACACAATACCAACTGTCGGGTTCCCGACGGCTGTCTCGCCACTCATCAGCAGAGGAATGCAATAAGATGATCTCATTAGAGAACGCGCTTCCGATACCGAATCTTGTATTGCAAGTAAATTCCGGACCGAAGAAGGACAAAAATACATGTCGCCCCGGCCCGTAGACTCTTCTCATATCCACAAACACGACCGCTCCATTGCTTAAGTCGATCTCCATCGTCTCGTCATCTGGTAATTTCAAGTCCTGGCCTTGTCAAACTAGCAACAATTGATCAAAATTTCGAGGCATTATTACTCCACTTCTTTGTACTCATTTTGCAATCGCCCTGACAGAGGCAATGCTTGTACCTCGACATGTATTAAGTGACGGTTCTACCTCGACTTGTTTCGTGCATTCAGACTCGTCATCTTCGACTTCATCAACATCCTCAACATCCTCAACCATGCCTACTCTTATTCCCACTTCGACTACCTCTTCTACCGATTCCTCCACCTCTACCGATTCCTCCACCTCTACCGATTCCTCCACCTCTACCGATTCCTCCACCTCTACCGATTCCTCCACTTCAACTTCAACCTCAACTGATTCTTCTACCACATCAATCCTGACAACATCCTCTTCCACCTCGTCTTCATCTACCGACGCACCAACAACGACGAGCTCTTCGTTCTCTAGCACCGACACGGCTTCATCTAGCACAGACAGTCTGTCTTCCTCGACTTCAAGCACTTCAAGCTCCAGCAGAAGCACCACAGCTACGTCCACCGCATCCAGCTCTAGCTCTTCTACCGCAAACACCAGCAGCACGTCATCTGCCAGTAGCACCAGCTCGTCGACCAGCAGTCTAGGAAGTTCATCAACCACCAGCTCCAGTATCTCTTCAACCAGCACTCTTAGCACCTCAGCCAGCAGCTTCACAACTTCACCTTCGAGCACCACATCTCTGAGCAGTCTGGCCACAAGCCTCCTCAGCATCAGCAGCACTCTCAGCGGTACCCTGAACAGCACCCTCAGCAGCAGTAGCAGCAGGACCTCCTTGCTGTCGCTCTCCTCGACCAGTGTACCCTCAATCTCATCCTCTATTCTTCCCAGCAACTCCTCGTCCATGCCAATCTCAACCTCCAGCTTCTTGACCAGCCCTGTCACCATTGTCACCACATCGTCGTCGTCATCCTCCATCATAGTGATCTCGCCTACGGAGCTTGCCATCACAACGGGCGGGACAATCTATGACCCGTCCACCACTCCGTCCCCTACTTCATCTCTCGCCCCTTCAACGTCAGCGAACTCCACGACTACTATCCCAGATCCCGTCGGGGTTCCCTTCAAGCTGGCAGTTCTCGCAGCTGCCAACCCGACCAATTTGGTCTAGACATGGGTGTATTTCTTGCAGTTCGTATAAGGCGCTCTGTCGGGCCGTTATTGTTTCTCATTGCCCCCCGGTCATATTCTTCACATAGTCAGTTTTAATGGGCAATTGCCACACTTAATCAAAAAGAATTTGGGATTTCTCGGTCATCGTTCAAGCTCTTGGGCGTCCCTTATCATCTCACATTCTCTGGCCGTTCCCCCATCATCAAGTACACAGAATATAAGCATTCCGCGATCAGCATTCCCATAACACGCACCAAATGAAACTTTCCTGTTTTGATCAACGTACACTATCCATTCTATTCGTTTCATACACTACTATACTCCTCGAGCTGCGTGATACTCGACAGCCTCCTCCTAGATCAACGGTCTAGCTTTCGTCCACAGCCATCGGCGGCAGCATACCAAGCTTTTGGAACTCGGTGTACGTCGCAAAAATGCCCTCCGCCGTATCAACGAACCCGTTCCAGCCCATGACGCGGGCCTTGTTCGGGCTCAGGCGGCCGTAGCCATCGGGCAGCACAGCAACGTCCGTGAACATGAACTGGCCCTCGGGGTCCTGGAAGGGGTCGAGCAGCAGGTTGTGCTTCTTCATAATCTCCTTCCAGGCTTCGTGGTTCTCGGGCTTCTTGGCCCAGGCGACGAAGGACCACGAGAACTTGAAGCCTCCACGGGGGCCGAACCTAGAACCAAAATTATTAGCAAACTTACTCAAGTTTCCTTCTCCGAGATCCAACAACACGTACCCAATAGGCGGCTCGCCAGGCATGGAAATCGTCTGCATCTTTGACTCATCCACCTCCGGCCTCCCAACCTTCGAGATACCAAACCATTTCGCGAGCTCAGGCCAGAACAACGCAAAGCTGAACGATCCCTGATCATTCGAGTTGAACGCCTGATTCCCACAATGCTCATTCAAAACAGCCCACTCGGACAGATACCCGGTAAGATGAGCATGCGATTGCGTGTGGTCCTTGAGCCAAGCCGCCATCGTGCCGGGGAACTCGAGCGGCTTGCCCAGATGAGCCTGCACGGCGGCGTAGACACCGAGCCCGTAAAACGCATTCATCTGCGCGTTCTCCACGGCGCCGACGATCCAGGAGGGGCGGAAGACGTTCCATTTTGCGCCCGTCCTGGCGCAGTGGTCAAAGAGGGCGTCTTCCTGCGGGTAGTAGAAGTTTGGTTCGCTAGTGACGCGCTGCGCTGATTCCACGAAGGGCGAGATGGCCTGTCCGATGTGGCCGCCGTAGTTCTTGGCGCCGGTCTGCAGGACGATGCGTTTGGGGCGGATGGAGGACTTTTCGAGCCCGCCGAGGAAGTTTCGGAGCAAGGCGGCTGGTCAAGAGTGTCAAGAACCGTGATCTCGTTTTTCGGAGAAAAGGGGCTTGTGTGGACTTACAGTTGACTTTTACGAGAGCTTCAGCGTTGGACCAAGCAGCGGCTCCGGGCTCGGGGGCTTGGGCTGGAGATAGGAGTAGAAAAAGACGTAGTCCGCCGTGACTCGACGCTCCTTTAGACCTTGCGCGATGACGTCCGCGTCCGCCAGGAAATCCAGCGAGATGTGTTCGATGCGCGCCTGCTGCTCAGCAGAGAAGAAGCTCATCATCTTCTCTGAGAGGGGGCTTCTCGACACTATCCAGACCTTCTTCCATCGCTGCGGTGCGTCGAGGAGGACCCTGAGGGTGTGGAATCCGCTGATGCCATTGGCGCCGGTGATGAGGGCCGTCAGGTCTGTGACATCGGATGGGAAAGTTGGCAAGTTGCGGAAGATGCCTTTGTTCTGAAGAGGGAGGGCCTGAGACATTGCGGTCGGTGTAAGAGTGGTTTGCGTGGTTGAAGTTCTCCAAGCGTCAATTAACCTACTGATTGTTGGAAATCCATTGCCGATTGGACACACTCAATCGTTACTTATACATAACATTGAACGGTACCCTACCGAGGCTCCGAATTGGAGTAGGTCCATCTCAAGAGGCGATTGTTTGCCAATTGGTCGTGTTCGTTTCACCATCCCACCGGCTGCAAGTGGGTTGAAGTGTCGACGCATACATACCTACGCACCAGTGATTTTCTCGTCAGTTTACAGGACACGGCGGGAATTGTTTTCCGCAGCGTCGGCAGCTTAGAAGGCCTTCAACGTTATCGTAAGCAACTATTCAGAGTTGCGTCAGAGTCCTGGACCAACAGCCGTCCGCTCTCCACATTCAACAGCCCCTCAACATTGGCCATTACGTACCTTGGTATTCTCAGAACGGTGTATGCGCCAGACAAGCTTTGACCGTTCTAGATCTACAAACCGGCGGGGTCTTCGGTCTAACCATCCATCCGCGTGGCCCAGTCTACGATGCTTAGCGACAATGCGAGTTGCCGTCCGGCCGAATACATCAAGCAGCGTCCTATTGTACGGCCGAGTTTCGTACTGGATTTCAAACCGCGGTTCAGACCGAAGCAAGTGGGTATTCGGTTCACGGTCCACGGCCCGCCACATTGAATGCCAACTTATGGCTAAGGATCTAAAAGGATGGTAGGCAAGCCGGGACTGCAAGAAGGCGTCGAAGGAACGCCTCTCCCGCCACGGACCCCGCAACCGGCACCGGTAGACGGGTAGTGTCAAGGATCTATTGACCCAACGGGACTTACCCACCTCCGGCGGGATGAAGTTTGTTGTGGGGACTTAAAAGCCGCCGACTGTCCCGGAGAGGCCCATGATGAGCCAACATCGTGTGTCCATTTCAACAACTGTCTTTTCAAAACGGCACCTCAAGACCCTCCCTATTCGCTTCATGAGGAATGAATCTCTACTTCCAGACGGTCGACGTTGTGCATTCGGAAGACTGGAAGCTGAATCCTTCAGAGCGCGGTACTCACCGTATACAAAGTGACGCTCGTCCAAAGTCAAAGTCAGGCTGTGACGGCTCCTCGCCAACATTATCAAAAGTAATCTCTCTCCCATAGGCCACGCTTGGTATCTGTCTCTCGTTTACTCTCGACACCAAAGTTGGAGTTCAAGTTTATGTACAAGCTCTCGTACTCTTTTCCATCTACACCCGTATCAAACCTGGTCAACGACATGAGTTTTAACACCACCGGAATTTTCTAGGGCCTTAAAATAGCAGACAACCAAGCCTGGGACCGCGAGGTGCTCGTCCAGGTATCCTCGATACAACAACAAAACTTCCACGCGGTGAAGCTGCTACCACGGAACCGCGCTCCATCAGAGTGGCTCATCTCCGTGAGGTCTGGCGGCAAAGACGGTGAGGACGAGGAGACCATCATCGTGGACGACTCGATGCAGAACAAGTTCAACATCAGGTGTAATGCGCTGGTATACGACCACGACCACGAGGATTTGATCTCCATGTTGAACGTGTCACCGACGACGGTTGCCTGTATGGTCAGGAGGGCATAGAGAAGGGGGATCTAATACACATAGATGAGAAGTAGAAAGAAGTGACAAAGACTATGAAATGGGTCCCGTAACCATGTGCTCGGTTTGAATGTGAGACAACTCAGTAGTGTACAACGAGTAATCGTCCGTTTCCCCCCGTTCTACCTGTGGCACTCGCTTGTTCAACGACCATCGGTGCCGGACCGCAGCTTCGATCGGGTTCCTCGAGTCGAACCCCATGACCAGCCTCGACGTGACATGTTACAGATCAGAATTCGGTGCTAGTAATCATCGGTTTAACCAACACCATACTCGGCCTTTTGATAGGATACCGTTATGGTGATAGAGTACAGCCGCAACCTTACTTGAGGAAGGAGATCGATCCGTCAAGATCTAGGGACTAGTAACTGCCAGATACGGAACGGATGCGACGAAGGACCACAGGATGGACACAAATGAGGATGATGGAGTCCCGCGGGGTATAAGTAAAGCCCCTTCTGAAGATTTAATGTCTTCTCACATCATCAAGCACTCAACACACCACACTCCTGGTCCCCTAAACACCAACAGCAAGCCAAAAATGATTTCCACGCCCTTCCACCACCTAACCATCCTCGCAGCACTCGCCGCACCAGTCCTCTCAACCCTCGTCCCCCCAGGCTCCCAACAAGGGACCTACATCGTAACCCTCACCCCAGAAGGCCAAGAACTCCACACCCGAATCCCCGACATCGACATACCATCACCACCACCACCACCACACCTCCCCCACCGCGACACAACAACCTGGCCCCCCGACACCACCAAATCAATCTGCTCCGACAGCCCCTGGATCACCACGGCCGACTTCGCCTCCCACCCCAACGGCGCGCGCAACGCCTTCGCGGCGCAGTGCGCCGCGCTCAACGGGAAACGCCTCGGCTACCGCGAGAAGATTTACAGCCATTGGGGCGACGCGGTGGCGTACATGTGTTCGTATGCCGGGAGCGGTGATGTAGGGAACGGGAAGAATGGCGGGAACCCGTGTGTTGTGCAGGAGTGGGTTGATGCTGTTGAGTGGGCTGCGAAGGATTGTGGGGGGAGGAATGGGGATGGGTTTATGGAGTGTGGTGAGTTTTCTTTTTCTTCTTCTTCTTCTTCTTCTTCTTCTTCTTCTTCTCTTCCGGTCTTTGATATAGAAGTTCTGTGTGAGGATGTGAGTGTAGAGTGTAAGTGTGTGAAGGTGCTGACGTTGGCAATGGTGCAGCCTATCTCTCGATTCCCGGATGGAAAAAGGTAAGATGAACCTTGAGTTTGACGTTTGACGGGATGGTCGGCTGACTTATACTCCAGGCGTACGGATACACGCACATCAACACCCCCTTCTGCTGAGAATCTTTGTGAGAAAAGTGACTGCATTGCGAGCTTGAGGATTGGGGAGGTCATGGTCTGCGAGAAGTACGCTAGGATGGCACTTTTATTATTTGAATCAAGAATGCAAAAGAGAAGATGTAAAGCTTGACAATTAAGCTATGTTCGAATTGGCGCACCGGTGGGATGTCAGTGAGGAGAGTCAAGTAAATCGCTGCAACATGCATCATTTGGACATGTAAAGATTAAGCGTTTCCTCGGGGAGCGTCTGACCAAAGCTTTCCTCTCTCATTTCGATCCAACTCGCACTCTATCCCCAAGTAGCGAGCTACGAAACTTGTTTTTTATTTGCTTTTCCCAATTTTACGTTTTTTTTTTTTGGATTCTCATATAGATCCCTCAGATCCTACTGTATGAAAACCCACCCGAGTACACCCCCTTATGCCTTGAGAATCTTGGCCAGCTCAGCAACGATAGCATCGCCAGTCTCCTTGGTGCCAGCGTTACCGCCGAGGTCCTTTGTCCGCACACCGCCGTCAATGACGGCCTTGACGGCATCCTCGACGGCCTGGGCCTCCTTGGGCAGGTTGAGCGAGTAGCGCAGCATCATGGCGACGGAGAGGATCGTACCGATGGGGTTGACGACGCCCTTGCCAGAGATATCGGGGGCGGAGCCTACATCCCAAAGATTAGCACAAAGCATTCCCCTTGAAGACCAAGGATTGGGGATGGGGACCACATACCGTGAATAGGCTCGTAGATGCCGTTGCACTTCCCCTTACCATCCGGAATACCGCTCAAACTAGCACTGGGCAAAAGCCCAATGCTGCCGGGGATAACGCTCGCCTCGTCAGAGATGATGTCGCCAAACAGGTTACTCGTGACAACGACACCGTTGAGCGCCCGCGGGCTCTTGACGAGCAACATGGCGGCCGAGTCGATGAGCTGGTGCTCAATCTTCAACTGCGGGAACTCCTTCTCAAACAGTTCCGTAATGACCTTGCGCCACAACCGGCTCGTGGCCAACACGTTCGCCTTATCCAGACTCCACACCGTCTTCTCCCCGCGTGCAATCGCCAGGAATCCAGCGAGTCTTCCGATGCGCTCCACCTCCTCGCGGCTGTACGGCTCCGAGTCCCACGCTTTTCCGTCGCCGGTATCTTCCCTGTAATTAAAGAGTCAGCAAAATGCTCACACCACCTTATTCACTGCTCGTGTCCACTGACTTGCGCTCGCCAAAGTAGATGCCACCGGTTAATTCGCGGACGATCACCATGTCGGTGCCGCGGCAGACCTCAGCCTTGAGCGGGGAGAAATCGACGAGCGCCTCGGAGGCGAAGCTGCAGGGGCGGAGGTTGCCGTAGGTGCCCATCTCCTTGCGGAGGCGGAGGAGACCTTGCTCCGGGCGGACGGCGCCGGTGCCCCATTTCGGACCGCCAATGGCGCCGAGGAGGACTGCGTCAGCGGTCGAGGCGGCAGCGAGGGCCTCGTCGGTCAGGGGGGAGCCGGTTGCATCGATGGAGGCCTGTGGGTGCCCAGGGGAAGGGCTTGTGTCAGTCTGAGGTTCTTTGGACACTGGGGCGAGTGGGATCCGGGAATGGGGTCGTGGGGGACTTACACCACCGAGGAGGTGCTCCTGGAAGTTGAACTTGCCAGCCGAGGGGCTGCTGGTCTCAATTGTCTTGAGGACCTATGTAAAACAAAACACACGCATATTGATCAGTCTCGTGTGGTTTGTAGGAAGCGAATCGAGCATGATCCGGGTCGACGCAATTCATTTTGGCCGGCAGCATACCTTGATAGCCTCGGCGACAACCTAGAAACAAAGTAAAATACGTTAGCCGTCAATTCCATCAATCCCGTTTTTATCTCAGCTCTACAATCTGTCAAGAGCCAGAAAGCTTGCTGCACCCCCGCCAGTCATCCGGAAGCTCACCTCAGGACCGCAGTGGTCACCGCCAAACACCACAATGTTGTGAGTTGCCATTTTTGTCTATGACTGATGAAGATTTGATGGGAAAGGGACAGGAAGAGTCTGGAAGCTGCGTCGAAGGAAGAAGACAAGGGGGGTATCTGTTGCAATTGGAGAGAAGAGGAGGAGATGATGATGAAGAGGAGAGAAAGTAAATACAAAGTTAATCCCACTCCCAGGTGACAGCAAGAGAGCTCCTATTTGCCCCGCATCCCGCACACAGATTGGAAAAAAAGTCGTGGTGCTGGCAATGGCAGTGGCACGGCCTCAACCCCGCCTTCCGACGTCGGAGCTGTTGACCTTCCCTAGTATCTAGTCCGTAGTCCCTAAGGTAGAGTTCGTAACTGTGGTGGGATGAGCTGACATTACAGCACTGGTGGCCCGGGCACCCAAGGTGAGTACCCCACAAACGCTTCCGGGGGGCGTTTGGTTCGTTCGCTCGGCTTCTATCGGCGCCGCTTCGTCCCGGTTTCCACAAATCTGCCCTCTTCCGGTTGCTGCGTCCGACGACGATCCGCACATCGGGTGGACTCAGACCGAGTGAATTATCGTGGGGATATCGGGACGACCTCTATCAGATCTGCCGTTCCTGCAGCCGTAGCACGGCCTGGTAGCTTACATAGGTCTAGAGTCTAGACCTTTCACCGGGAAATCCGAAAATCGGCAGATCCACCGTTACTTCACCTCACTCCCATCGGTCACTTTCGACATGATTGTCTTCGCCTCACGATAGCTTCAATACCCTCTTTTCTCAGCATCCTCTCGTTTGTTATTCATAATTAAGCCGCAAGGTATGTACTCGGGAATTATATATACTCATCAATATCCAAGATGACTTGATGACGGATCGCCCCGTTTCTCTTTCTAAACCTTTTCTTTTCCTCGCGTACCGTCATTGAGTTTTTGGGGCCGGTCATTATCGTTGTGCTTCAATGCACTCACGTATTACCTGAATGATTTGCGGGCTAGCGGGCTCGCCCCGGGTGGTCCCAGCGCTGGGCCATTTCCCCGGAGCCGACCGCCTCGCATGTTGGGTGTGTTTGAACAGAAAGCACATATGTACACAGATGGAAGTGTCCGCTTGGATATGTTGATGCACGATCCATGGAGCCACATTTCGCAGGACTCACTGATGACATGTTAGCATTGGTAAAGCACAAAGGTGCTAGCCGGCCATCTTGAAGAGGCAGAATTGGGTGGGGGGGGTAGTATCATACCATTGGACCATGTAATCTCCTTGCCTATCCGCGCCGTTCCTGCAGACGCATCGAACGTTGTACGTCGCTTTCGTCGGCGAGGGTAGGCTGGCTTCAGTGAAACCCGTGGGCGACATCATACCCCCAAGGTGATCCTGGAAACTGCCCGACGCAAATCGCTGTGATCGTTGACTGCCAAGTGCCTGGGGACCGCGCTTTTGTCGACTCTCAACGAGCTTGCGCAGCTCGCTTGCTGCATCACCCCCTTTGCCCTGTGCCCCGTTCATCACGGTTTCCGCTTCGCTCTCAGCCTCGTGCTGCGAAACCGACGCTCCCAAGCTGCTCGAGCTGTGTTCACTGACGCTCCTTCGAGACGAATGGAACATGGAAGCTGACGACGGCCGACGGGGATCTGGTAATGCGAATGAGGTATTTCGGCTAGGGATGATGATTGGCTCGTCATCTGTCGAAGAGTCGTCCTCGGATTCCCAACTCTTCTCCCTGCGCGGCAGTTCCCGTGTCACCGGTAGTCTCCGTGCCTCCTCAGGTCGCGGCTCATCCATCACCATAGTAGTCTCGGCCCGCGCCCTGCCTCTCGAGTCGATAGTAAACTTCACAGCCGTGCGAGGCCGCGGAGGTGCCGACTCGGGTATCGACGTCAAGCTGGAGAGGCGAGAGTGCTGCTGTTTCAGGGGCGATACTCTGCCAGACGGGCGACTCGGTGGCCTGCTTGGGCCAGCTACTGGACCATTGGCCACCTGAGGCCTCGGCTGTATGGCTGGAGCGAGTTTTGGCAATGATGGCTTTGCCAGTCCGCGTCTTCCACGATTTTCACTGGCACTTCGTTGCAGTCCGTTGAGCCGCCCATTCGATTTGGCCGGAGAATTCAATGCCCTTCCTTGACCCAGCTCCTTGGTACTGAGGGAGCGGCGGATATCGCCGTGCATAGGCGCTCTCGATTGTGATTCTGCTGCCGCTGCAAGGGCGAACTGTGCCGAACCTTGTGTGACGGGGATGTGTGCACCCATGTTTGATGACAATGGTCGACCGAACAAGACACCGGGATCGACTCCGCCGGGACTCATAATACCAAACGGATCCTCCATTGATGTTGAGAACGAATTTGAGACCATGGAGATATCTGCCGAGCTGGATTGGACATTATTCATGACAGGTTTGGGGGCCAGGGGTCGAATCCGCTTGATGGGTTGGGCAGTCTCTTGACTACCTGACGGCGGCAGGGCGGCAGACTCTTGAAACATTTGGGAGGCGTCAAAGGAAGGCATGTGGCGATGTCCCGAGGTTTGAAAGACATTGGGACCAAAGGAGAAGTCGATTTCCATGCCTGACATTTCGGCACTCGGATCCCAAAAGCTTGCGCCAGCGTTTGCCGGAGCCGACATGGGATATCCGAACATGTCGGTGGCAGTTACAAAGGCCGCCATATTGGGATGTTGTGGGTTTCCAGAAAAGTCAGGCTGGCCGTAGCCATGATCATTCTGCATGTTGTCGCCCTGTAGCTTAGGAGCAAGCTTCCGGCCACCCTTGTGGGAAGATGGGGGAGGAGTTGCCGTTTGCCCGTTCAGATCCGCCACGCTCTCCCTGCCTTGTGAACTTTTTACTATGTTGTCTTGTGACGCCACCTCTGGACTGGCCGAACCGCCTTCCTGACTGGAAAAGTCTGCTTGCTCGATCGGGGGCTTGGGAGAAGAGGGCAGTCGTCGAGCTGCGGCAACCGGGGGTAGAGGTAGGTTCGTATTGGGAGAGAAGTGGTTGGCATGTGTTGCTATCTGAGCGGCAAGGCTCTCGGCGGACAGAGGCCTCTTGAGGCTTGCCGAAGCAGGGTATGGAGTAGCACCTGTGGCAAAATCGGGGAATGTACCCTGAGAGCCTCGAAGGTTGCCTGGGGTTGTGTTGAAGACGGAGTATTCTTCTGCAAAGCGAGGCGTCCAACCGCCAGCGTCGTCAAAGTGACCCTGGGACTGCTTGGGAGTTTCGAAAACGGGGCTCGGGAAAACGGCGGAAGTGGGAGTCTGTTTGGGGGTGGGTGGCTGAGCGTTTGGGTTTCCAAAGCTGTAGTCAGAGTTTCTGGTTAGCAAAATGGCGTTTTGATAGATTGTCCGGCCTGCCAATCTTGCGACCTGGTCGGGAGGCAGAAACAGAAAGACGAACGTGAATGGGGCGGGTTTGGTAGAATTCTTGCCTGGACGCCAGCTGATCCCCACTCATAGCAATTCTACTGTAGTTCACACAACCCTAACTTGAACATGACATGAACCACCCTAACAAACGGAATTGTGCAAGTTTGAGGATATCGAGGGGTTCAGAGGACAGCCAAAGGAAGACCAGGGGCGCAATCGGCGGCTTGGGGGTCGGTGGAAGCGAGGAGTGAGTGCTGTCGATTGGTCGGTTCGTGAATGTCAGGTAGATAGATATCAGGCGGGGGCGACGTCAGATGCGTATATCATTGATCATTACAAAGGGTCCAAGACGGCAATTTCATGGGAGAGAAAGTAGTACACCGAATGACGAAGAGCTGGCGTGAGCAAGAGGAGCGTATCCGAAAGGTGTCCGAGGAACTCAAGCCGGGGGGAGGTTGGGAGTCGAGGGGAAGTTTGGTAAAAGGGAGGTCCGTGAGGTGCGGCGCGCAGAAAGCAAGTATCGGTGCTCTGTACGGCGGCGGAAGCGTGATTACAGAAGCAGATGAAATATCTAGTCGTCAGAGTCGTAACACGGCAGATGCTAAGCCTGGTCTGCAGCAAAGGGCGCTTCCTAGTTCCAGGAGAACGCAGAATCGAGAAGAGGCAGCACAAGAAGGGGGAGGGGAGATGGTGAAGAAAGTGCTCAGGAGCGTCCAGGAACCAATCGTTCGTTCACTTTGTGAGAGGGAGAGGATAGAGCGAGAAGACCAACACCTGGGAAACAAAATGGTACCTAGCAGCAGCCGCAGCCGATGCAGTAATTAATGGTAAGTTACTGCAGAAGCAGGTTAGGGAAAAGGCAACCTCAGGACGGCGCACATTCGTGCCTCAATAGGTACGTAGATATTGGCAGATGGCAGATGGATTGGCAAGCCGCAAGCTAAGCACCGCACCTAAGGTAAGGCAGGCAGAGACGGCCTGTTCTCGTTGGAGACTTCTTGGGAGTTGGCTAATTTTTTTTTGTAGGGATGCAGAGACAAAAAGAGGGAAAACCTGGGAAGGGAAACTTAGGTACCTCGAGTTAAGCTCGTTGATGGGTACGTATTCGAATAGTCAGCATATCCCATTGGGCAAGACCAGAGAAGATAGCGGGATGGGAGCACTGTCCAGCACAGCGCACTTGGTGAGACTGCGCTGCTCGCCTACAATTCAATTTACCAGTAAAACTCAGATGCAAAAGACACAGGCGCTTCGGCCGACTGACTGCCTATGTTGCTGGGGGCTTCCCGGTGGAGGGACTGTCGAATGCTCTGCTGTGTAATTAGGTTATAGGGCCAATCAATTAAACGAAACAATCTCTGAATACAACGTGCCTTTACCCCCCCCCCCCCCATATCCCGTTTCTTTCTTTCCTGCTTCTCTTCCACAAAGAAAAAGACCAAGGAAAAGCCACACGTGTCGAATCCAGTGTCTGTCCAGATAGCCATGACGCCCCCTATAACGGCGTTGGCTTCCAAGCTAGAACCAGGCGTATGTACTCCGTATGGGGGGGAAACTCGGCCAACGCCATGAAAGATGGGCCAACGTGGCTCAACAGGGAGGCCGGAAGGGTGTCCTGGGCCACATAGGTATGCTGACAGCTGTATACTTGGGTGATAGGTAAGTACAGATAGAGAGGGTTGTGAGTCGTGGCCAGGCTCTGATCGCCGGCCCAACTCGAGCGCAACCTGTACCGACTGAAACAACCCGTGATAGCAACTGCAAAGGGGCTCTTGACCCTTCCTCTCCATCTTCCTCGGTCTGTCAGATGTGTCGTCGAGATACTGTCCTTCTTCGACAGACGCCAGCGCCTATCTAGGGTTTCAACGTGGATAACCACGGGATGATGGCGGCACACAAGCTTCCACTGGCGTCGTCGTCCAGGGGAGCCAAGCCAGAGGATACGGCGAACCAACGACTTTGACAGGCACGGGCACGGTGGTGGGTGGTGTGGTGGTCTGCTGAGGTTCATGCTTGATCCGGGCGGCGGCTAACAGAGCAAAGTACTACTGTTAGCAGCCACTGTTCACTGCTGTGTTGCTTCGGCGATGGGAAAGGCCAGCTCTTGCGCACTTTGCCGACGAGATATGCGATGAACCCTCCGACTCCTCTGTATGGATAGGGAGGCTGAAGAAAGGGCCGGTTCAAGGATGTTCCTGCGTGAGATGGGTATGTCTCGGGGATGGGGAGGGGAGGGGAGGGAAATGGGAGCAAAGGCATGCAAATCAGTAAGCTGTCCATCCCCTGGTCGCTCCCGTGTTCCCCCGTCTCTCCCTCACTCGGTTTCCGAGACTCGATGACATACATTCCTTCGAAGCAGTAGGAATTATTGTCTACGAAGTGCGTCTTGGCTATCTGTACATGTGCGAATAAGGGATTACAGTTGCTTCCGCATTCTTGCTGCTCTGTTCTAAGAGTCTGTCTCCGATGGCAGTTGCTGCTGCTGATGCGGTTGCCGAGACAAGTTGGCCGGTTGCTGGTTGCAACGGGGCTCGGCTGCTCAGCTCAGCGAAATGTAGAATGCGATGCGAGGAAGGATCGTCCGCAGAGAGCCATGCAAGGTACTTGACCAAAGGCAACCATACCTTTCGTGACTGCACCACAAGGCGGGGGGTACACAGCAAGGCACCTACCTACCTTGGCCAACCAGCGAGCGAAGGGAGAGGGATAGAGAGAAGGGACTCTTTAGGACTGTCCTCTCCGTCGCTCCTTAGGACAGGGAAGCAGGAACAGCTTGCAGAGCGCCATGCCGATCCGGGCTGTAGTCTCGCTGTAGTCTTACTGCACGTGCACTGGCGCATGTGGGCAGCTTCTGGGCGGGCACGCGATGATAGGATGAGCGACATCTGTCAAGTCTACAAACTGCAGTAGAAACCCGACATGACAGCTGCCAAAGACCATTCAATAATGCCCATCCACACAGCGGCGAGTCTGGACCTTGTTGCTCGATGCAGTCATGACGAACGAATTCGATGTAGAAAGTCTCTGCAGCCCTGTGAGCAAGATACTCTCCCCTTCCTTCTCTCACCGAGCCTATCCTTCTTTACCATGCAATGCACATCACGTCAGTCAAGACTCAACCACCAATCCATTCCCGCGGATATGACCTACCTCCCAAGAGACGGCCTAGCAACCACAACTCGTTGAAACCTCGGAAGCTGTGTTTTGGCAGGTCATCAGAGACTCTTGGAGCCCGGAGAAGCATGTCAGCGGCGGCGAAACTGGTGAGTCAACGCGGCGCTGCGCTACCGAAAGCTAGTCCTCACTTATCCTCCTCCAAGCGGGCATCGGCACCAGACTACAGAATGCCATCTGTGCGCTGAACGAGAAAAGGCGCTCCTCTGGAACTTGATCACGTTTCCATATCACCAATATCCGCCCCATCGCCTCACCTACAAAACTTGGTGAACCATGGGCCGTCGTGATGATGCCCACACCAATCCGCGACCTGCGCCGTTCCCTCCGCGCTCCGGTTATAGTCCCACTGTTTCGGGGCCGGGCCTCAGCTCGCTTCAGTTGCACCTGGCCAGGGGATGATATTCTTTTGGTTCTCTTTGCACGCCTGAAACCACCTCTCTGAGCAACCCCAAATCTTTTTGAACTCTCAAACCTCCGAGTCCCAGATCGATCGGTTGGAGAGACAACGCGTGCAAAACCGGAGAACATTCCATCCGGACTTCGATGGGGCGTTCCACTTCGGACCTACGTACCTCTTTCAGATGTTCCCGCTCCCGCTTTCCCCGTCCATCATCCAGAGTTTCAGACGAGTTGGAGGATGTGGTGGGCATCTGCCGAACGGAAGCGGATCAAGGGACGGAGCAAGACACTTTTTTCGGTCGCTCAGTCATCGGCATCAGTAGCGGTGTCGGTTCCATCTCAACACTGAACTAATTGTCCGGCAGTTGAACTCTCTTACCTTTGGCCTCTCTCTCTGATGAGCTGATGGGTTTTGTGCCAACTTAGTAGTTGACGCAGAGACAACCGCCGCCGTTGCGGAACATGTTGGTGTTGTTGGGTGGCTAGACCATGACTCTCTCGAAATTCCCTAGTGGGATGACAACCCGCAACAGATATCACACACCCGACGCATGAAGTCGACGACCTTGCTCATCCGCTCTGTTTCGGCCGCCTCTCCTGGATAACGCCTCCAAACAGGCAGCCCGGCGCGGTTCTTAACTAGCTGGCCTAGACATGTGTCAATGTGTTTGAGAAAAGACACCACGCAAATGTTGTTCCCAAGACGCTAGAGAATTCGTAAAGGTCGGCCCTACTAGAAACGAAGGCGTCTCACTACCGGCGATTTCCAAAGTTGCTGCCAAGACCACAGCGAGGAGTCCCCAATTCGACACACGTTTCTCACCAAGTTTCACCTCGGTCGACAAACCAACCTACACCGGCGCAACTTGCTCCATACTTTCAATTACAAAGGGCTCACCAGGCAAGGCGGGTAAGGATGGGCGATGCGCGGCAAATTGAAGCTATCCCCAGCTGATTTGCGACTTCGCAAACATAGTTGCCTCTCATAGCCTAACCCCGGAATCTACACAAGCGACGAGGACTGAATTGTCGGTAATGTGTTGTTGTGCTTCCTCTTCCTCGGGGCGTTGTTACGTTCTTGTCTCTTGTTACCCAAGGCCGTCATGAAGATGGAGACGCCTCTCTTCTTGAACTGAGGGGTAAGCTTCCGAGCAACATTGCCGTGGTCTTTCTCCCACTGCGCTAGAATTTGAAATCGGAGCTCGTTAATCTTCCTTTGATGTAAAACTCGAATGCGGCCAAAGTTCCCCAAGTCTAGTTGGGGGAAAACTCTGCCTCAGTTGCTGCCAGGTCTGCTTGGGTTGCTGCTAGCTCTGCCTGGGCCGCGGCCAGCTGTTCCTGAAGGCCGTTGATGCCCGCTCTGTGTGAACTCTCCGCGATAGTCAGGACATTTGTCATGTGCATCTTGGAATGTTTACAAGTTCATCCTCCTAGACTCGGCATTGCGCAGTATCCTTGTGACCAGACTTGACACTATTCTGCGTTGAATAGAGTCTGACCGACGTCCACAGACACCCAGCAATAACGACCACAGTACGGCGCTGCGTAACACGCCGAGGAGGTGCCTCCGACCTGGGACGCCAGACAAACTCAGCCCATATGACAACCGCCCTGACGCCAATGAGGATTGGCAGAACAATGATTACAACTATGACGACTGGGCTCGCGATCCTTACGACGTGCCCGATGGCACCGACAGATACTACGACGTCAATGGCGATGGGACTGACTATGTTGATCCAGCCAGGAGTTCAAGTTGACAAGTAGATCTTCTCATCGGACGAACTATCGCGGTGAAAGCATGTCTGAGCAGAGAATCTCTGCAAATCGGCAACAGCGTCGGGACACAGCGATGATAGAATGAGGCCTACATTGTCAGCGATTATTCATCTTCTTTGAACATGAGGGGTCTTGCGTGAATAACGGCCTCTCCACTCAATGCGTGGCCAGTCTCTTAATTCCAGCAACCGATATTCAACTTCGATGACGAACGGCATTAGCGACTGCTTTTAGATCATGATTGTACGTTGGAGTGCTGTAGAATCCCAGAATGAATGAGAACCCATAGTGAGTCAAATACTGTAATGTCGTTCGAGCGAACAATGTAGTGCCCAGCACGCCATGGCAATAAGTCACGTACGCGGTACGGAGCTCCCGTTCATCAACAATAACACAATGCAAAACAATCGAGAGAATGAATAACAGCGGCAGAAAAGAGTGGCATCTTCTCAGGAAGCTCAATCTGGCCCCTTAACGACGACGACTCAACTCTCAAGTTTTCCATGAGAGTTCAGGGGAGGGTCAGCTTAGCCCGCGATGAGATACATGCCCGCCAGGGAAACGATTGGATGAGATGACTTCCCGGCAGCAGTTGTGATTGTGATTCTGGATGCCACGGAGGAGGGAGTGGCTGGGGAGTAAGTTGGTTCAATGAGAGAGGAGCATGTGTTGTACTGACGTACCATTGGCTCGTTGTCACTGCAAGCTGCAAGGGGTTTTAAGTGCTTGCAGTTGAATGTAATTGGTTGGGTCTGGCTTCTTTTCGAGCCAACGCCGGATACCTGGGCCCCCATCTATTAAGAGTTTTAGAGGTCCTCGTTAGCTCCGAAGTAGATCCCCCTCCCCTGCTTTCCTCGCTTCGGCCATCGTGCGATGCGAGAGTTGTAGCGTCGCTCGAGACTTTGCAAGCTGGTGAGGTAGCTGGAGAAGCTCTGTTGGGTTCTACCCAGGAACCAGGGGAGGGGAGGGAGGCAGGAAGCACGACATCGACGTCAAGGCCCAAACTGCCTCGTGGGTCGTCAATGATTCCAGCATGTGGCTTTCCCCCCCTTTTTCCCTCATCCCTCCTCCCCGCGGCCGACCTGCGCTCAGAGGAGAATCCGGATACGACCTCGGACTACGGTAGTGTGGACACCAGACCCGGGACTTTACCACAAACTTGGAACCTCGTCCGGCCGGCGCCCAGCCTCTGAACCTACGGATACAACCTCTCCACTCTTCCTCAACCCCAGTTCTTTGCGTCACTTTCTTTTGCAGCTTTTGCCGTGTCCATATGGAATATGGATACTCGTAGGGCAAAAAAAGAATAAGCACGATCGCCCGCCAATCACTTACCCCCGCCCAGGCCGGGAAAATAGATGGAAAAGCCTGTGCGCACTGCGCGCTGCCCCTCCCCCCTGGTACAGGCCATAGGATATATATAATGGCGGGGTCTCCCGGTCGAGATGCATGAATTCCGGGAGATTACGCACATACGCATGCAGCCCTCTCAGGAACACTCCTCTGAGGTTTCTGGCTCTTGTTCCTCCTTTTTTGAGAGGGGACCGATGAGGGGGTTCCTGGGACTTTTTTTTTATTTCCTTCTCGGTCCTTTCCCATCGCGCCTGTCACGAACCAACAGAATTCCTTGGTTGATCTTCTGCCCTTTGCCTAAATGGATCTCCTTCTGGGATGTTTTCTCTGGGATACTCCGCCGAACCGAAACAACCGTGTGTGCTCCGTAGAACGAGAGAGACTCGAAGACATGTCAGGGACCAGGGGGGAACCCCAGGACTACACTAGTCACAGAAGGAAAGAAAGAAGTTCTTGCTAGATTCCAGGTCTCCTGGAAGATCCCTGAGAACACGGACTGTCAAGCCCGGGCTCTCTCCGGGCGAAAGAGGAGGAAGAAGAAGGAGGAAGAAGAAGGAGGAGGAGGAGGAGGAGGAGGAGGAGAAAGCTGGAGCGGCCGGTCTCCGACATCCGAAGACCAAAGACCAACGCCCCCATTGTCCGCCAAATCGGCCAGCCAGCTTTCAGGCCGGCCATCCATCGAGACGTATGTATCGCCGCGCGAGGTATTCCATCTGAACTTTGCGATCCTTCGTCACAGTAGCCGCCGTCACCTCGACTAAATGCCAGAGCGTTGTGCAAGAGTCAAAAACGCCGTTCCGTTTCCCTCCAAACGCTGTAAACAGCACAACACAAACACCCTTACCGAAATATCCAAACATCTATAATAAGCGGCTCGTTCTGCCGGTGTCCCCCGCCAGCTGAACCGCCTCCCAGAATTCCAAACACATAGCAAAAGGAAGGTCAAAGGAGACCAAAGACCTCCACCCGTAGTCATACTTCATGCCCTCTGCCCCCCCCCCCCGGCGGACAGGTAATCGAAGCGAAGAGGGCCGGCTTCCTTCTCCGGAGCGAGCATCATCCACCTCCACCTCCACCTCCACCGGGCACGCCGGGTTTCCTTCTTGGAGGCTCCCCTTGTTGTTCAGCTTTCCACCTGGCACCATATCGTAGTATAGCCTGGTTCCGGTTCCTGGTCTGATCTTCTTTCTCCCCCCCCCTCCACCGAGTCCACCCCCAACCCGGAAGCCCCTGGCGTCTCCCATCCACTGTAGCATGGCCCCTCGACGATGACAAGCACTTGCCGTATCTGTCACTCTGTGTTTGTGTGTGTGTGTGTGTGTGGTATCCTAGATACCTTCTTGTGTGCGTGGTATCCGCAGTCTACACATACCCGCTCTCCTCGCCCCCCTGCAACATCCATACCACACCCCGGCAAACCCACGCGCATTGAGGCTTCCCTCTCGCCGTCCCAAGCCCAAGCCTCCAGGAGGCTGTGACTCCTCACTCCAGATAGTGAAGGACTCAGAAGGAGAGGGGCCAAGAAGGAACCAAAAGGAGCCAAGACAACGTCGTGGCATACGGAATACCACCCATCGTCCGTCTCCAACACCTATCATCCCCCCCACCCCCGTCCCCGTCGGCAGTTGACCGTGTTCCTGGACCAGGCACGGGGAGGAGAGACGCACGCAGGGTACGAGATATGTAGGTACGGAGCATGTCATGTATCCGCACCAAAAGAGAACCCCTCACAAACGCGGTACCAACTGCCTTTGCCCTGCCACTATTCATACGTCCATACTAAACCGCCGCACATTCGCCCGTCCTTGGCTCTGGCCCAGGCCTCATCTTCTGCTAAACCGTCCGTCCGGCTATGTGTGAATAAACGACCTGCCCCTCTAGGCCCCCACCGATCTTCAACCCATCGGCATCGAGGGGTCAGGGGGTCCCCTCACAACTAACACTACCCCTGCCGTGTCCCCGGATCCCGCGCAGCGTCAAAGTCGAAGTCGAGTCAACTCGCGCCGGCGGGCTGGCCTTCCTCTTCCTCCTCCTCGTCTCCTCGTCTTCCTGCTCTTCGTCCTTCCCTCTTTGGGCAATGCCACGTCTTCAGGTCCCCTCCATCCCAGCTCTAGAAGTCTGCGCATGCCTGAAAACCCCTGAACCCATCCCGCGCGCCGTTTTCCGTTGTTCCTCTCCTTCCCACCTTCCCCTTGGCACGCCCTGGCTCCACGTCCCCTATCTTGTTTTCCATGTGTTTCTGCGGCACATCTTTTCGTTCTTCCCACGAAGCCCCATCGCGATTCCAGCGGCTGGGATACGGACTTGGAGTGTTGGTGCTAGTGGGCGTTGAGTCTTGACTAAGAGGGGCAAAGGAGAAGCGGGGTGTCGAGGAGTCATGGCATGGCAAGGCAGTTCGAACAGAGGTGATCGGGGCTTATGTTACTCCCGAGTCTTTGACGGACAGATCACGACGCCCCCCCTCCCCCTCCAATTGCCAGCGGACGGCCGTGGTGTGGCTGGCGGTTCATATCGTCTGTCATTCTCTCCGTCCGTCTCGGGAGACGCAGTAATGACCGGATTCCGCACAAAACATGTCTCCTTCTCCTAGATACGTGATATGTGGTATGAAAAAAGCTGGCAGTGAATGCCATATCAATAAGATCATCATCACCAAAAGTGCTCTTAATTCTGAAATGACCGTGTATTCCTCATTCTGCGCGGGTTAAACGAAAAATCTAACTAGTACTGGCTTTGCCCCCGAGGTTTTGTCCCAACGATAACAACCGAATTTTACCATTTTTGGCCCGCCACCCGACCTCCAGAACGGATCGTTCGAGACCGTCATCACATATGTCCTCCTCCCCCTCCTCCTCCTCCTCCCATGTGACTTTGAAGTCTTACCATGAAAATGTTCCCGGCCTACTTTCGCCCTGATCCAGTCATTTGTTTTCCCAGTCCTTATTCCACCTTTTCCTCCCCTTGATATCATTGGTATGTCCTCCTCAAAATTCAAAACTTCGACTGCAGATCCAGTCGTTGGGGTCTCACTATTTAGCTATCTACGATTAAGTTGTGGAAAGAGCATGTAAGGGAAAGGGATGGTGGGGCGGTTCAGAACTATAGAAAAAAAGAGAAAAAACAGAAAGGACTGAACAAGAATCAGAAAAAGAAGAGAAGCAAACAGACTGAACGGAACAAAACTAGCCCCCCATTTTCCCCCAATGTCTCTTCCGTGGGTGTTGATGAAATGATGAAACTGGGCCATTATCGCAAAAAAGATCCTGCACTCTGGTGTCATGTCATGTTTTGCACGTGGCGAAGAAGCGACGTGCGAAACTAACAATTGGTATCCTCCTCTTTCGGGACATAAAACATGGGTGGTTGTGCTCGAACGAATTCAGAACGTCGGTCAGGAAGCGAGCTTGAGATAGGAAAGGAAAGAGGATGGATAGATCAACCGTGGATGGTCGTAGTGGTGGATATTGTGATGGTGATAAGGTAAGGTAGTAAGATTTGTTTGGAAATCGTCATGACACATTGTCCCTTTTCTCTCTGTCATCCGGGGGAAGTAGTTTCGGAGTTTTTCTTTTTGTTTTTCTCGTCCCGTCAAAAAAAATTCCAACACCCTTTAGCAACCTCCCAAATTTTAACCCATCCTCCAAAGGTATCCCGTGATGCCCAAGTCTATAAAAAAGGTAGGTCAGGAAAAGTTCGTTTTTCGTGACGACGTTTCGGTAGTGTACCACAGGCACGCGCTGCGGCGGGGGTAAGTCTGCGTGACAAAGGAAAAGAATAACAGAAAAAAGTGGTATCAGTCGTGTGTGTTGTTTCTCTGCCATATCAAGATCAAGGAACCCGCGTCAAATCATGCCAGGCATGCCTTCCATTGGGTTGATGACGTTCCTCTGTTGGGCTTGGTTCTGTACCATCTGCCCTTGGTTCATCTGAGGCATGGGCGGCGGCACCTGTTGAAGGTGTTGATGTTGTTGAACCTGATGCTGGTGCTGTTGGTGTTGATGCTGCTGGTGCTGCTGTTGCATCTGCGCGGGCGTAGGCGTGCTGGTGACGGATGCCGACGAAGTTTGAGGCGTGATCGGAGCCTGCTGTGGCATTGCGGGTGCTTGCTGTGGCTGTTGAGGCTCAACCTTTGGCTTGGCCATCTGAGATGCTGCAAGATTGCGGTTGTGATTGCTCTCACGTCGACGCTTTGGCGCATCCTTGATCTTGGGGTGGGTGTGACACTACATAACCGTTAGCCTGTTGTGAAACGATAAAAGAACATTCACGATCGATGCCGTGCAACATACCTTGTACGCGTGTCTGAACCATGTGGTACCCTTCTTCTTGCTGCTGACGAGCGCAATCCAATCGTTGCAGCTACCGCACAGGCCTTCCCATACGTCTGGATTTCCATCCATGCGTCGCGTCTCTTGAGGCTCTTGGAAAGGATTACCCGTTGCGGCACTGATGCCGTGGGTGAACGACTTGTCGTACCAGAAGGCCGAGTTCTTCAAAACCAACCAACGGCCCGGCTTGCAGATTCCGCACCACCCCTCGCGCTTGTTGCCGTGACCTCTTACCCATCTGGGCGTGTACAAGTCACCCTCGAACCGCAACTCTTGCTCGTGGGGAACGAGATCGGGATCAGATGGGTTCATGTCCTCGGGAGGCGGCGGGATCTGCTCCTCGTGAAGTGAAGCGTACAAATCGGGCGGGTCGGACAAATCCGTGTAGTGGCTGTGAAGCGAATGGGGATCGGCGTTGCTCTGGAGCATGCGGAAGAGGCCATGGGACAGAAGCGGCGGCGGGGCCTCGAAGTGATGAGCATCGGGGTGAAAGCCATTGGAGGGCAATTGCGACGGCAAGAGCATACTATTCATGCTATTTCTCTGGTACTGCGGCGGGGCGGCCATCATAAACGGATGCTGCTGGGCGGCCTGGAGATTGGTGAAGTTCAATGGGACTTGCTGGTGCTGGATCGTCGGCGATGAGTGTCTCGAAGACATGCGCTGGTGGGCACCGAATGCATCGTGCCCCTGATGAAACACGAACGGTGTCTGACGTCTGTTCTGTTGAGTTCCGTACGATCCTGTCGACCATCTCTTTGTCGTTCCACGCTCGACGCTGTAGGGAGCAGATCGCATACCCGGGCGAGGCGAAGGAGAAGCCCGACCGCGGCTTTGAGTCCTAACAAGTTCGGATCGGCTCTGGGGAGTCATCCGGGGAGACGCAACCGGCGACAATTGGGTCGACGACATCAATGAGTTGCGGTTAGACGGCGGCGGGTAGTCTGAACTGAATGATGGCGCTTCTGATAGAGCAGCTGAGAAGTCTTCGTACGAAGGCATGTCCGAAAGGGCACCGGACGTGGACATGGTGAAGGATGAGCCCGACATGCGTCGCGGGTTGGGACCACAGTCGAAGTTGAACGGCTCATTGTCTTGTTGCTGGTACCTCAAATCAAGCACAGGAATGGCCTCGTCGGTAGTGTATGCCTGGCCAATCATCTCCGTATCCAATCCGTGGAACTCAAAAGTGTCTTCGCATGGCTTTTGTTGCCAGTCTGATGGAGATGATTAGCATGAGAGGTAACCTCTGCTGAGGTTGACTCACTGTTCTCCATGGTGGTGACGGGATAAAAGTCTTGTTGATGAACTGATACCGGTCGGGACATGGCATCGCTGGGAGTCTGTTGCATTGGCAGTGGCGAAGAATCCCACGATGGGAGGGTGCCGTAGTCATCGCCCATGCTGTAGGAGAATCCCTCGTGGATGGTCGCGGGTCTGGGCCTCATGCCTTGAGACGTTGGAGTTGTCCATACACCAGCGGGTGCTCCCACGCCCTCTTGTTTGATGGGCATATCATTACCGTTCATGTTGATGATGGTCGTTGTACGAGGCGGGACGTCTCTTCTGAACTTGTTGTTAGGGTTGAAGGTGAAGGAAGGTGTGTGTATTTGTTGCCGACTAAATTGTACTTGTAAGTCATGTATGCCGGAAGCTGCAGGGACGGAATGGGGCCTACAGCTGTGCCTGACCAGAGTCCATGGTGCTTAGACAGGAACAAGGGAGCGTGCGGTTAATCAATTATCGGGTTGATGCTGAACGGGGACGGTGGGTTGTTAGCATTGATCCTCGGACGATGGACATCAAGGGTGGCAGTTGTATCTGACGGCAGTCGGGGGGTGAGGGGGACCCACACTGCCCACGTATCGACGAGCGCGATCCGGCAGGCCGACAGAGGAGGCTTCCAGGAACTTACTTGGAAGAATCTGGCGCAGTGGCCAACCTGAGCGGAGAGAGACAAATAATCTCCGGACCGGGCGAGTAATGGACGGCGACGTGAGTGGTTATGTTTGTTGGGGCCAGGGGACGCGTAGATTTTTCCTTCCCCTTCTTGGCTCCTTTCTCTTTCTGCTTCCTCTTGATCCTTTTCCGGTCTCTTTCCCTCGGGGACGGGTGGACGATGATGAGCGTTAAGGACAGCGGGTCCTCGCGATGAGGCTAGTGGTGGTGTATAGATGGAGGCGGTAGGGATTCCCGTCCTCAGCTAGACAGCGCGGTTGAGGATCTTTTGTAAAAAAGAGTTTGTGTTGGGTACTCTGTATTTATATAGTATGTATGTATGCGATCGATCCTCAAAGGCAGTAAAGGAGCGTGGTGAGTTTGCAATAATCGGCAATCTCGTTTGGTGCTTTGATGGCTGAAGGTGTGTGTGAGAGTGATGGAGCGCGCAGCTGGCCGTCCTGGTTCCTGGCGGGATGAAGAGAGCCAGCTCCCGGAGAAAAGGTATTATAGATGCGAAGAGGCAGCCCCCTCGAAAAAGGAAAAAAAGTATTATAGGTTACAAGGCTCGAAAAAAAAGGAGTGACTAGCAATGAGAATCAAGGGCAGTGAGGCCTTGGTGAGTGGGACGCGAAAGGAGAGCAAAAAGAAGACAGGTCGAGGGGCGGTGCAGACGGATCCTGGAGGTATAAAAGAAGTAGTGTGGAAAAAGAAGCATCATCCATGAACAGGCCAATAGGTCAGCACGGTCAGGTTCGGAACGTCGGTTGGAGCTAAGCCGGATTTCCCTGATACAAACCTCTTCCTGTCTGTGAACTTGGGGCCAGAGGCAGGTAGGTGTGCGAGAATGTGCTTGGCCTGGCTCAGCAAGAGGGCAAGAGTTGCAGGGGGGTCTTATGGTGGTGGACAAGGTAACATCTGTTCGTCGATGTGGATGTGTGGGAGTAAGATGCCGATGAACCAGGGAGCGGCCTACTCCCGACTGCTTTTGGAAGACGGGGACAAGGATCAAACACGCCGACAGGGCTGTACCCAGATGATGGATGTATGCTCATAAACTATGTACATGGCACGAACTCGGGTCCGCGATGAGAGCGTGACGGGAAATATAGTTGAGTAAGAGGCAGAGAGAGGTCCGGATAGAGAGTATGAGGGAAGCAGATGGAAAAAGGGCTGATGGTGGTGTGGAGAGTCCGAGGGACTGAGAGTAGGAGGGGGGTGGAAGACCAAAAAGACAGACAGACAGAGAAAGCTGAGAGAGAGAGAAAGAGATATGGAGAGTGGGAGCAAAAGTGTAAGGAATAGCCCATGAACATAGCAAAGCTAGCCAGTCAGGAAGAGGGCAGCGATGGGATGGAAAGAAAGAGGGCAGACAGTAGGATGGACAATTGCCATAACGTATGGGAGGTTCACTTGCACCAAACCATGGGCCATGGGATACTTCTGTCTCACTCACTCTGGAGTCTGGCCTGGTTACCCATCCACCCATCCAGTTCCATACGGATACACCTGCAAGACCTTGTCAAGACCCCCTCCCCCTTCTAGACCTTTTAGCCTCCCCCCCTCTCCTCCTCGTCCCCTCGCCATATTGTGCAGCCCACGGCGGCGGTGCAGCTGTGGATTTGTAGCAGAGAAATTCGTCGTGACGAAATACAGGACCAAACTTGGACCAAAGGCCATCCACTTGATCGCCCTGTATCGACGATAACCGTACTTGACGTATGAGCTAGAAGGGCCCTTTCGGTGGTCTCCGACTAGGGCCGTCAGTTATTCAGGGCTGAGAATTGGCGAGGACCCTAGCGATCCGAAGGAAATAGTTCCCGAGGAGGTGGCTTGTCTCATCCCATACACCCACATGTGGCGACATGGCCCCAGGGGCCGAGGGCAGAGGGCAGAGACTATAGGGGAGCATCGGGGAGGAAGAAAGTGAGGCAGCGAAATGGATCACGGCTAGTGGCTTGCAGCCGGCGGCCGGTAAGTTGAACTTGCTGAATGTATGATTAGTGAGGAGTGGGCGCGGAGCCGAAACCACCTGGACTGGGCCTGATCTGGAGCGGGCCTCACAGTCACCGTTGTTGGTTTCCTTCCTTAGCAGTTTCCAGTGACCACGGTATTCTCTTTTCCACCCCTTGTCCGTAAAACTCTACCCTTCTTCCCTCGTCTCTTTTTTGGCGGACAAGTTTTGCGTTGCGTTCCAACATTTCGCAGCGGAAACCAAGGAAAAGGCAGGGTTCACGGACGAACCTCAGTCAAGTATCGGAATGATACGATACGGCTTGTCTGGAGTGTCAGTACCTAGGCCGAGTACGGCACATCTGCAAGGTAAATCCGCCGCGGTACAAGGCCCAGTCCCTCATCCCGTCCCAGGCCAATGGGGCATGGGGGCCATGGGGAGGGGCCTCGGGCAGAGACTGTAGAGCGACTGGTGTGGAAACCTGAGATTTTACCCATGACTACCTGGGGCCGGCCAATCAAGCTCGGGTATGAAGATGATGAACGAGAGTGTTTGGCAGGAGAAGCAAGAGAATCCTGACGTCGGGCTCTTGTTTTGGCGGCGAGTGCGGTGCAGGGATCACACCTGTTCCTGTTTTGTCAAATCCCTGGTTCCCCACATGATGAACCTGGCATCCTATCCTTTCCAGCAGATCCGCTCTCGGGCTTCTTTTTTCTTGTTCGGCCGTTGTGCCAATGGCGAGAACAGGAGCGGCAGGCATAAAGCAGCACAGATGTAGGTATGTGCTTTCTGGGTCGATGCGTACAGAAATATCAGTTTTCAGATAGGCTGATGGCTCGGCGACGGAGGCAGCGGCGGCTGCGGAGACGAGAGATTGCCTTCAGTCGCAGCTTGATTTAGCTAGCTGAGCTTGAGCTAAGCTAGCTTGGCTAGCTGCAGCATGCAGAGCACACACGGCTGGAGATCGGAGAAAATGCGTGAAAGGTTGCGGCGAGTGGATGACAGTTTGTTCGTCTCTCCATATGTCGTCTGTCTGTCTACCTATCTGTCTGGTTGCGTTCCGGGAGGGCTGCAGGGGAATCAGGAGCGGAGGGTTGCCGAGAGGAGGGAGAGCCTCGGGACCATGTGGATGAGGGGGTCAGACGAAGAAGTTCCAGTCGCAGCTCCAGTTCCAGTTCCAGTTGCAGTTTCCAGGCCAGTCCATTTGTTGGTATCCTGAGGCGATCCATCGAAGAAATGGAATCGTCGGGCTGTCTGCCTAGGATAGCGAGTGGATTCGAATGTTTTGGACATGGTCGAGTAAGAGGAGTCACTCGCAGTTGCTGATCAGCAGCAGCAGTAACTGTGAGCACGAGCCGAACATGGAGAATGTCCACGCGACAGGCATCGCGGTTCCAAAAAAGACGACACGATGCCGCACAGAAACTTTCTTGTGCCTGGGATGCAAAGGAGAGAGACCAGACCAAAGACGCTTCTCGGAAAGGGGGGAAGAGGTCATAGGCGTGCCCGTAATCAACAATTAAGGAGGGTATATGAGTGCGCCATGATGGAGCTGGGACGTCGTCAATATCGTTGACATTGTTGGTCGGCAGACGTCGTGGTGGTGGTGGTGGTGGTAATGTTGGTGAGAGTGGTGGTGCTGTTGCTGCCGTTGCTGGTGGTGGCACGGAGCAAGCACGTTTGAAGTTGACTTTGAGCTGCCCGGCGGCGCAATATGATTTGTCGCTGAGGTAAGCATCTGCAGGGGGTGAGACTAGGGGAGCTGCGGGTGTGTGGGTTGGTCTTGGCATTGGTTTCTTCCTGTCCCGTTGTTCCGTTCCTGACCATGGTACGTACCCTTCGGGCTCGTCCCCTCTCTTCTTCTAGTGCAGCGTGCCGCGTGCCGCGTGCCTCGTCAGACTCGATGATGATGGATGCACCAGTGTGGATGATCGTGGTGTCGTGCTGTATGGTGCGGCGTGCCTTGCAGACTGCAGTGTTGGCACGTCTGTCTGCCTGCGAATATCCGTCCCCTGTACTGAAATTGTTCGTCCATAGCTCGTAGGTGCCTATTCTTCCAACCATCCATACTTTGGTTTTTGAGTCTGAAAGTTACGAACGGATGGATGATGCGGATGATCATGATGGAAGTTCATCATTCTCTCATGCGATCCATCTCTCAAATCGACCGGCCAAACTTTCAATCCTGTTCGGTGCCGAACACTCTCAACGTTCTCCGGTCTCGATCTCGTCTTGTCCTCCGATATGCTCCCACTGGGTCGTTTTCTCATCTTCTAGCCAGTGTTTGCCATGTCTTTGATCTCATCCGACTCTCGCCTCGTTCTCACCCCGTAGCGTCCTCTCCATTCCGCAGCCCACTGGCCATGTCCAGGCTTTGACAGTGACACATCGCGGTAGAATGAGAACCACGGTACGCCGTACGGAAAACCTGTCCGGCTTCTGATAGTGGGACACTATCCTCTTGTACAGCGTGTCGAAATCCCACCCACTCGCTGCTGACTCGTGGTCGTGACTCGCTGAATTTGGGTCCGGTCTACTGCAAGTCCACCGGGGACGCGGGGGCTGTGCCAGGGGTTGGGCAGGGGCAGAAGCTGTCTCAGATCTGTCGCAGAACGACACACCCTTGTCTCGCTTCAGCCCCTCGACTAGGTTGACCGTTGACCGCAGTCCCTCTTCGCGCGAGTCTCGTCGGCTTGCAAGTTGTGAGTCTGTCATTGTCGCTCTCGTCCCCGCCGGGACGGCCTGGCTCTCGCATCTTTTGCTTTCTCCGCGTCTTTCGTATTTCTTTGGGTCGCCGGGCCTTTTCTCACTAGCCTCCTGCTTCGCCAACTGCCAGCGGCAATCGATCGTGCTATAGCGCTGTGAGGAAGGCAAAAAACGACGACGTGCCGTCTCGTCTCGTGCAGTGTCTTAACACGAGGTTTGCCAGTATGCAGGTGCTTGATGACATTGCCAAACATCTTCGTGCGGGCAACGTCTCCCACATTTACTCGTCTTCACCATACAACTGGTCCTCCCACATGCAGTGGCTTTAAACTTTGGGGTTCCATCGCCTGTCACCCCGTCTAAGACCGACTTGTCCAACATCTGGACGCCTGCCTCGTCCCATTTGCTTCCGTCCATAGCCGGTTGGCCCTGCATCTGCCACGCCTACAGCAGCTTCTGTCGACTGCCGCCCTCAAGCTGAAAACTATCCACTTCGCTTTCGTTTGCTTTTGTGCTGCAATCGCGAAGGCCATCACTCAGCAGTGGCACGCCCTGCTTGATCCCGAATCAGATATGTGCGTCGCTGTCCGTGAGGTTCGTCCCCATCTACCGTTATTTCTTGAGAACTGTCCTCTTTGAGACTCTGCCAATACTTTAGCTTTGACGGAAATCAAATCAAGAGAGACTTGAATTCAAATACGCCGCACAGATGATGGCGTTTGGGCTCTTGTATGAGACGTGCCACAACTGGTCATTTCAGGACGAAACGGCTCTAGTTGACCTGCCTCGACGTGGCTTTCTGTTCCGCCTGTCGTGGCTTGTCCGCTTACTCAACCAATTCTTCTGGGTGCCGTAACTTAAACCTTTTTTTCTCTTTCTTGTCGTGTATGCCTGCTGTATCCGTAGAGACGGCTTCGGTTTGGCTGTTGCGCCAAGAGGGTTCACCAGGGCTGGTGATCCAACACGTCTGACTACGCGACTGGTTGCTACTCCTCCTCTACCCCTCACAAGCAACCCGGGTTGTCGTTCGTTGACGCGCCTGTTTGTGAGCCGCGCCCACCTCGTCGCCCGCAGCCTGTGATTCGCTCAATCGTCTGCTCTAGTGTGCACACAAAGTTGCCCCTCTAGGCATCTATACTACCACGATGAGCTGATCTGCATCGTGGCCAAAAAAGACTCAGGTTTGACAGCTATGGGTCGGGCTGAAAGCCGGCTGAAGACCAGCGTAAACGGGAAAAGGAACTTCTTGTTACTGTAACTGAAAATCAGTGAATAAGAGACCAATCATTCAGCAACTTACAGGCGACTTGGCGGCAATAACACGCGTCACGTTAATGCCTCTGGCCTTTGGTGCTCTATTCGTGTTGCTGGTGGAGAGTCGTTCTTCCATATAACAGACACCCGCTATAGCTCCTACAACCATGGATGTCCTTGATAGAACCCATAATGCCCTCGCCTAAGACGGTCGCCAGCTCCCGCCATCGCTATCCAGATTGCGGGCGCGACTTGACGCCCGGGGACCGCCATCCGGCACGGATTGTACACGCGTAAAGTGGCTCCCGCCATCCATCATTCGTCGCTAGCAAGAAAACCGTGTGCTGTTAAAGCTTGTTGAGCGAATCCGTTGGCGACAGTCTGCCCGCCGTAAATATTGACGTGGCGCTAACGACGCACATCGCTTGTCCGTCAAAAACTCTGTCGTAGGGCTCTGTGTGTTGTACAGCTTAGTGAAACTTAGCGTTGTCTTTCCTCAGTTGGGCAACGGTCGCG